GAAAACTAAAGAATAAGCAACACGAACCCCAACAAAAACTGGGGGTGATCTCAGGTGCTCCGGAAGGGTAAGCAGATCCTGTTACACATGTCTAAACATGCTTATCAAATATCTTAAAAACCTATAGAATACAAAATTTTATTTTAAAACAATACCCATTACCTGAAAAATCTCAATCAAGCTATTGGTTTGGAAGCATTGTAGTTTCAAAGATTTGTTAATGCTTTTGTATCGATCTGATGAGTAAAGCCATTTTCAACTGATTTTTATAGTTAGGTTTTATCTTATAATGTCACTTATACTCCTAAATCGGTTGAATCCGTGGAATTTATTGATGCTATTTTATGTTATGAAAAAACAAATCAAAGACAAAACAAAAAAAATTAAAACAAACAGGTGTAGGACATTTAGTTAAGGTCTTTCTGGCATCTGTTGTACAGTCGTGTTTATCCGTTATGCATTTGTTTTATGTCTGAATTGTCTTTATACTAGTCTATTGTATGTGCCTTTTAAAGCCTTTGATAAAACGTTAGTGTGGATCATCCTAGGTGAAGCCCTTGAAAACTGTCTTTTGATATAACAAAAGGTTGGAATTTCATCGAGGTAAATGCAAAAATATTAGAGCAGACAGCTTGTTTTCACTAATAAAATGTAGGTGTATACATCTCGGTTTTAAGAGTCAAATTATGTAAAGTTGAAAAATCAAGACAGATATGTACTGTGTGTAAATTGGCGCCGAAATATATTCCTAAATTGACCGTTGCAAATGAACTTTTACTATTAACGCGTACAGAACATATATACTAGTAATTTATGTTTTTTCATGAACTGATTTTATCACACTTGCTTCACTATACTATTTTTTATGTAACCGATAGAGCTTGGAGCAAAGGAGTTTTCTAAAGGTGATAGCCGTATGAAGACCTCTTGACCTCTTTCTGCTAGTATTGCTTAATTGTTATCTTATTGATATTTAAGCTATAAAACCATCTCTAATCCACCATTTTTACTTAAGGAAATGCCTTACCAAGTCAGGTATATGACAATCGTTTTCCATTCGATTTGTGTGTTAACTTTCCGTTTTGAGTTTCCTCGGAGTTCCGTATTTTCTGTTATTTTACTTTTAATATACCCCTTTTCTCTTCCGTTTAAGAAATAATTGAATGAGGCTTGAATTTATCGTGATTTTACCACGGGTTAACCCTTTATGCTAAGTATTGTAACAAGAGCGACAGTGAGCGGTTAAATTTCAGCATAAAGAGCCAACCCGTAGTAAAAACAATTAAATATTTCCCGTAAAATCCTTACATTATTACGTCATCGTTCAATGACGTCATTTACACCATCTGACGTGAGGTAAAACATTCATTAAAAAGCATATGACGTGGGAGTAGGATTGGAACAGCTTAAATAAATCATGACGTTGCTTATCATCTAACATATGAATATATTCGAATTATACCAAGGTGTGTACTCAAACCGTTTGAAGAACGTCATATTAGAATCAAAATTTCCAACACATTTACAGTTGCTTGACTACTTATTTTCTTAAATTTCTGACCTCGTACTGTCTCCTCTCCACCCCGACAATCGATATTACAGAAAAGCAAAACAAAATATTCGGTTTATCTGTTTGATGTTTACTGCAATAGCGATTTCTGTTTCACGTGTACAAAATGAAGACGATCAAACTACATAATGCCAAATACAAAAAAAATGTCTTTTCACGCTAATATTTACCTTTTTGACTAACACTTTGCAAGCATCCGTTTCAAAGTTTCAAAGATGATTTTTAAAGGCAGATAGAGGAAGATAAATAGTCTTTTTGCAATGATTCTATCTTATGTATTATTACAGAAACTACAACAGCTTCTAGGACCACTCTTCCAACAACAACAGCCTTAAAGTTTATGATTCCACCCATAATCACCCTCCAACAGAAGTTAATCATACCAGAAGGAAAACCGTCATCAGTTGTAGCGTGTCAAGTACAAGGCTATCCCACACCTAGTGTTACCTGGGAAACGTTCGATGTATGTCTTAGGCCTGTAAAATCAGAAACTTATTATAGCGATTCTTCAACAATGGGCACTTATGCGATATTGATATTTGCAATTCCAGGTTATACTGCATATTGATATTTGCAATTCCAGGTTATACTGCATATTGATATTTGCAATTCCAGGTTATACTGCATATTGATATTTGCAATTCCAGGTTATACTGCATATTGATATTTGCAATTCCAGGTTATACTGCATATTGATATTTGCAATTCCAGGTTATACTGCATATTGATATTTGCAATTCCAGGTTATACTGCATATTGATATTTGCAATTCCAGGTTATACTGCATATTTATATTTGCAATTCCAGGTTATACTGCATATTTATATTTGCTATTCCAGGTTATACTGCATATTGATATTTGCAATTCCAGGTTATACTGCATATTGATATTTGCTATTCCAGGTTATACTGCATATTGATATTTGCAATTCCAGGTTATACTGCATATTGATATTTGCAATTCCAGGTTATACTGCATATTAATACTACTACCATAGTTTTTATCCTTTCGCAATTTGCGTAATGATAAAAAAATAAGAATATGTACCAAAACTAAAAGGTTCACTTACCTTAATCTATATTGTCTTACAATGATAGAAGAACAAAGGATTTGGGGTATCCGACCATGACACAAAATAGGTATATGCACAGCAAAAAAAACAGAAAAATGCTCAATGTATTGGATTTTAATATTCATTTAAGTGTATCTGAGGGTGCTGATTGTTAACGGAATGAGAAATAATGGGTAGAAAATAAAAGAATGCAGAAAACAGGTAAGAAAATTTGTAGAGAATAATGGAGTGGTATGATATAAAAAAAAAACAGAGAAAAATACCTTAATGGTGAAAAATAAAGACAGGAAAATGTGCTTTAAAAATTAAAATGTACATAAATGAAGATCTCCAATACATACACTTATATAAGCGTATGTATATATACAGGTTGTATATCAGAACTGTGATTGTTAATAGATAAGACTATCGGTATGCCATTGGGCATTTTGTTTTTCTCATAGTTCTACTCATTGTAAATATTTCGAAAGGAAACACTTAACAGAGGCCGTTAAAAACCCATTCTAGTCGGCAACCTGTTTTTCATGCATTGTGATCTCGTCTTCATTGTTTTCCTATAATTCTCTCTTCGTCGTTGATTTCCCATTATTCTCTCTTCTTCATTGGTTACTCATTATTCTCTCTTCTTCATTGGTTTCCCATTATTTTATTTTCTTCGTTGATTTCCTATTATTCTCTCTTCTTCATTGGTTACCCATTATTCTCTCTTCTTCGTTGGTTTCCAATTATTTTCTATTCTTCATTGCTTTCCTATTATTCTCTCTTCTTTATTGTGTTCCCATTATTCTCTCTTCTTTATTGGTTACCAATTATTTTCACTTCTTCACTGGTTACCCATTATTCTCTCTTCGGAATTGGTTAACCATTATTCTCTCTTCTTCATTGGTTACCCATCGTTCTCTCTTCTTTACTGTGTTTCCATTATTCTCTTTTCTTTATTGTGTTTCCATTATTCTCTCTTCTTCATTGGTTACCCATTATTCTCTCTTCTTCATTGTTTCCCCATTATTCTGTATTCTTCAAGTCTTCATTGGGGCAACAGGAGGAAAATATTGAAATGCAAGTACTTTCAGAAAATGCGTCTATTTTGAAAGTGCGCGTATGTATGGCCACTGATTTTCTTATTAATTTATACTTTTTACGGATTTATTTCATTTCATTTTGACTTGCATATATATGAACATATACTTGCGTTTCGCTCTAGCACAAGTTTCCATCTAATGTCCAAGTTCATGGTCAGTATCTAATCATTCATAACGCTGGTGTATACGATGGCAACACTTACTTTTGCAAGGCAACGAATCCTGCTGGAACTGATATCAAATTTATCCACGTCATAGTAAACCATACAGGTAAAATCTTTACTTTATCTACACTATACCTAAGTAAAAAGTAAAATAACAAAAATACCGAACTCCGAGGAAAATTCGAAACGGAAAGTCCCTAATGAAATGGCAAAATCAAGAATTCAAACACATCAAACAAATGAATTATTCACATCATCACATTATTTGTCCCCTTTCTTCAGGAATGTGTACGGGGTAAAATTAAATAATGCGTGAAATCACACGCTGCAAGTGTAATCAACTTGAGGTGTATTTGAATGTATATAGCTGGAAAGAACCGGTTTAAATGCATATCGAATAACAGAAAGATGATAATACAATATGTCAAGTTCCAAACTGTCCAATGTATAAAAAGTTTTTAATCTCTAATCCAGGAAGATACATATGGTTTCAGACAAAATTTGAAGGACTAGTTTGAATCGTTACTCTTCCAGTTAATTGATATTTTGCATGCGTCAACTCAAAGATATATCGTCGAAAGAGACTATATATACAAATATTACATAAACTTAGCAACCAGACAGACCTTGACACGGGTTGTGATACCAGTAAAATTAAATTCCTGTCAGGCTTCCATAAGATTAGAAATATTATTACAAAATACAACCACGAATAGCTTTACAAGATGCGATCTACTTTGCTATACCTACTCATACTCACTAAAAGTACATGTATTTGAATTTTATATGATTGTAAATTATTGTAAACTACCACTCAAGAAACATGCTGCCATGACTTTTGTGCGCATACGGACCCCTCCTACATATTTCTAAGTTCAGTTTTGTCATCGAGGCTTTGAAGGCCTTGACTGACGGTACTGATACAACTCCAGGAGGGAGAGTGTTCCAATTTCTGATTGTTTGTGGGAAGAACAAATATTTCCAGTAATCACTTTATGATGCTGGGATTTAGAAGCTTCTGCCTATATTTCCTGACAGTCGTTTTGATGGCATCGGACGACCTTGATTTGTTATTGAAACATTAACCCTTTAAATGTTCAGTTGTTGCAACTTCATCATTAACTCATTAGATTTCTGGTTAAGCATCTCTCATCAACATAGGTGTTACTGATTTGTAGTAAAACCAACTACGTTGCGTCCACATATACCTCCAGTGATAAGTTCAACGGCCATTGTCGAAGTTAGATATGGATCATCCGTAACATTGAACTGCAATGCAACCGGATATCCAGAGCCACAAATTACGTGGCACGCACATCACGTATGTAAAATATATGTTTACATGTATATGTTCTGTTTTCACTTAACTCTCTAAAACAGCGCGAAAAAAAGGAATTATAAAAAGCTGTCTTGAATGAACCCAGTGATTCATTATTGTTCCCAAAAGAAATTATCAGTTTGTTTTAACTAACTATTAAGTGTACTCCCGAAACTTAATTCACTTCTATATTCACACAAAAAATATTCCTTAACAACATATGCAAATGAGCTGAGGATTGAGTATCTGATTTACTTCTGTTTTTATTCTGTCTCCTAAACTTTTGTTGCTATTTACCACACCGCCTCGATGTTCTCTTGGTAGAGTGTTTGCCTCGAGTGCGGGAGGTCGTTGGTTCGCACCACGCGGCTGGGTCAAATCAAAGACTTTAAAATTGGTTTTTGGTACTTCTCCGCTAATTTTGTAATATCACGTGGCATTAAGGAGTAAGAACAAAGGCTGGTCGGCTCGGAGTTAGAACAATGTGTCTGAGTATAGCAACATATCTTCCTGCGGACTGTCGCCTTGTGAGCTAGCACGTTAAAATCCGATTTAGCGGGTCGGATTTGTACAAAGCAGGATAAATATTCATATTACATTTATATATTCTCGTCCTGAATATGCATATCAATTTGCCGCTGGACATAAGGCAGCCATCCATCATCATCATCATCATCCTATTTACCACAAAACAGTTGTGTCATTTAACACTAAGTTTTTTTTTCAAATTATTAACTTTAATTTTCTTATCTTATGTTTTTATTCTGCTTTGCTTTTCAAAACAAACAAATATACAATGCAGTAGTAGAACAAGAATGCAGAATATAGGTAAAAACATGTAAATGCATATGTTATACGACTTAAGAAATAAACATAACAGGCCATCCATGAATTGTTTTACATTTGTCATTTCGGGGTCTCTTGTAGCTGAATATTCGGTATGAGTTTTACTTATTGTTGAACATGTTGAAGGCCGTACGGTGACCTATACTTGTTAACTTCTATGTAATTTGGTTACTGGCCATTAGCAATTATACCACATCTTCTTATTTTTACACAACAGTTTCTTTAATATTTAAGGCTAATGTTTGTTTTATAACAAATTTCCAGAAAACAATTCATCACAAAACTCTTGCGATTTCCAAAGCCACTTTAGATGATAATGGATTGTATTTGTGTATTGCCATTAATGATGCTGGGCAAACCCAAGCAAACACAGTGGTATCTGTAACAGGAGGTGAGAGTTCATAACAGTTTATGAGGGTCTGAATGGGGTTTACAGTTTAGAAAATAAATAAAATAGGAAGAATAAAGGGCAACAATAAAATAGGAAGAATAAAGGGCAACAATAAAATAAAGATGATAGAAAAATAGGCAAAAAAAATAAAGATATGCTGAAATATAACGAATAGAGGATTTGAACCACAAATATAAAGGACAGAAAGAAATGGTCTAAAATATTAAAGGATTAAATAAATGAAGGACCCCTCATCCTGAACCTTTTTTAAACTGCAAATATGTTAAATTTTATTAAAATAAAGTAAGCTTGTTATGCGGTATGGGCCTTTCCCATTGTTGAAGGACGTACGGTGATCTATAGTTGTTTATTCCTGTGTCATTTGGTCTTTTTGGGAGAAGTGTCTCATTGGCAATCATGCCACATCTGCTTTTTATAATTATACAAGAAAAACAGTTTGGGATCAGGAAAACAAACTGAAGGATTGTTTAATTTTGATTAATGATATCAAGAGGTATTCTCTAACTAAGACTGTTTATTAATTTTAATGCATTAGGCAGTACTAGTTTAATCCTAAATCATACATATCAGTCAGGAACCTGATGTTCAGTGGTTGTCGTTTGTTGATGTGGTTCATCAGTGTTTCTCGTTTCTCATTTTTTATATAGATTATATCGTTGGTTTTCCTGTTTGAATGGTTTTACACTAGTCATTTTTAGGGCCCTTTAAAGCTTGCCAAGGCTCCGTGTTGAAGGCCGTACTTTGACCTATAATGGTTTACTTTTTACAAATTGTGACTTGGATGAAGAGTTGTCTCAGACGCACTCATACCACTTCTTTATATCTATGTATATAGATATGTAATATATGTATCTTGTTTCTACCTTTTAGATGCGCCACATATTACTGTTCCACCTTCATCTGCAGTTAAAAATTCAGGAGAAATACAAAGCTTCCTGTGTGCAGCTACTGGAAATCCTAAACCAAATATTACCTGGTCTTACACGTCAGTAAGTACAAAGCTTTATATTTACCGCTTCTAGAAATTACCTGGTCTTACACATCAGTAAGCGAAAAGCTATGTATGTACGGAAGGCTACTAGTAATCCTCAACCAAATATTACCTGGTCTTACACGTCAGTAAGTGCAAGGCTTTATATGACGGCTACTTGAAAACCTCAACTAAATATTACCTTGTCTTATACATCAGTAAGTGAAAAGATTTATATGAACTGCTACTTAAAGTCCTCACTCAACCAAATATTACCTGGTCTTACACGTCAGTAAGTAAAACGTTTTATATGAACGGCTACTGGAAATCCACAGTCAACCAAATATTACCTGGTCTTACACGTCAGTTAGTAAAAAGCTATGTATGTTCTGCTACTAGAAATCTTCAATCAAATATTACATGGTCTTACACGTCAGTAAGTGAAAAGCTTTTTATGAACGGCTACTGGAAATCCTCAACCAATTATTACCTGGTCTTAAACATCAGTAAGTGAAAAGCTTTATACGAACGGCTACTGGAAATCCTCAAATGAATATAACATTGTCTTACACGTCAATAGGTAAAAAGCTATGTTTGTACGGACGGCTACCATACATTCTCAACAAATAATAACCTGGTCTTACACGTCAGTAAGTAAAAAGCTTTATATGAACGTCTACTGGAAATCCTCAACCAATAATTACCTGGTCTTACACATCAGTAAGTTAAAACTTTATACGAACGGCTACTGGAAATCCTCAAATGAATATAACATTGTCTTACACGTAAATAGGTAAAAAGCTATGTTTGTACGGACGGCTACTATAAATTCTCAACAAATAATAACCTGGTCTTACACGTCAGTAAGTAAAAAGCTGTATATGAACGGCTACTGGAGATCCTCAACCAATTACTACCTAGTCTTACACATCAATAAGTGAAAAGCTTTGTACGAACGGCTACTGGAATTCCTCAAAAAAATATTACATTGTCTTACACGTCAATAAGTAAAAAATGCTATGTATGTACGGACGGCTACTAGAAATTCTCAACAAATTATAGCCTGGTCTTACACGTCAGTAAGTAAAAAAAACTTTACTAGTATCTGACGGTTACTTAAAATCCTCAACCAATTATTACCTGGTCTTGCACATCAGTAAGTGAAAAGCTTTATACGAACGGCTACTGTAAATTCTCAACCTATTATTACCTGGTGATACACATCAGTGATTTAAAAGCTTTAAATAAACGGCTACTGGAAATCCTCAACCAAATATTACCTGGTCGTACACACCAGTAAGTTAAAAGCTCTGTATGCAAGGACGACTACTAGAAATCCTAAACAAAATATTACCTGGTGATACACGTCAGGTAGTAAAGAGTTTCATATGAACGGCTACTGGAAATGCTCACTCAACCAAATATTACCTGATCTTACACGGCAGTAAGTTAAACGTTTTATATGAACGGCTACTGGAAATCCTCACTCAACCAAATATTACCTGGTCTTACACGTCAGTTAGTTAAACGTTTTATATGAACGGCTACTGGAAATCCTCACTCAACCAAATATTACCTGATCTTACACGGCAGTAAGTTAAACGTTTTATATGAACGGCTACTGGAAATCCTCACTCAATCAAATATTACCTGGTCTTACACGTGCACGTCAGGTGGTAAAAAGATTTATATGAACGGCTACTAATATCCTCACTTAACCAAATATTACCTGGTCTTACACGTCAGGAAATAAAAAGTTTTATATGAACGGCTACTTGAAATCCTCACTCAACCAAATATTACCCGGTCTTACACGTCAGGAAGTTAAATGTTTTATATGAACGGCTACTGGAAATTTTCAAACAAATATTACGTGGTGAAACAAGCCAGTAAGTAAACATGTTTTATGTGAACGGCTACTGGAAATCCTCAACCAAATGTTACCTGGTGAAACACACCAGTAAGTTAAAAACTTTATATAAACGGCAAACGGAATTCCTCATCCAAATATTACCTGGTCTTACACATCAGTAAGTAAAAAGCTTTATATAAACGGCTACTGGAAATCCTCAACCAAGGATTACCCGGACATACACATCAGTAAGTAACAAGCTTTACACAAACGGCTACTGGAAATCCTCCACCAAATATAACCTTGTCTTACCCGTCAGTTAGTAAAAGGTTCATAAGAACGGCTACTAGAATTTCTCATCCAAATATTAGTACTTGGTCTTTACATGTCACATTTCATAAAGCTTTTTATGTACTGTTACTGGATTTCCAAATATCATCTTTTCTTACACCTCAGCCAGTACAACCCTTTGGTTGAACGGCTACTAGAATTCCGCCACCAAATATAACCAGGTTTTACACATCCGTGAGTACATATCATTGTATATACGGCTACAGGAAATCCTAACGAAATATAACTTAGTCTTACACACAAGTAGAATAAAATAAGTATACATAGATATAAGAAGATGTGGTATGAGTGCCAATGAAACAACTCTCCATCCAAGTCAAATTTTATAAAAGTAAACCATTATAGGTCACAGTACGGTCTTCAACACGGAGCCTTGGCTCACACCGAACAGTAAGCTATAAAGGGCCCCAAAAATTACTAGTGTAAAACCATTCAAACAGGAAAAACCAACGGTCTAATCTATATAAAAAACGAGAAACGAGAAACACTTATGAACCACATCAACAAACGACAACTACTGAACATCAGATTCCTGACTTAGGACAGGTGCAAACAAATGCAGCGGGTTTAAACACATATTTGTATGTTCATCTACTTTAAGTATCCATCCTATCATTACCTAGTCTTATACATCAAGTGCAAAGATTTTTATGTGACACTACTTTAATTCTTCAACAAAATATTACATGGTCTTGGCTGGGTACTTATACATCCCGTCCTTGTGTTATTGTACTGTGGTCAATTTTGGAATTCGTGTCTTTCATTTTTGCTTATGTGCTTTGTTTTTTTTTTTTTTTTTCTTTGTTGACATATTTGTTTGTTTTATAGTGATTAAGATTATAACACAATGTTGACTGTTGTACCCCTATTTTTTTCATTTTTACCTATTATGTTTGTTTGTTTTGTTCACACATTGTTGTCAAATATAATCCACCATTTTCTACATATGGAAATGCATGTTCCAAGTCAGGAATGTGACAGTCGTTTTCGATTCGTTTGATGTGTTTCGGCTTTTGAAAATGACATTTGATGAGATTTTCCGTTTTGAATTTTTCTTGGAGCTCGATATTTTTGTTAATTTATTTTTCTGCACATCAGTAAATACTAAGCTTTGTATGTGATTCTCCTCTAACCAAATAATTTTTGTCATGTATTTTCCGTCACAAACAAAAACTTTCTTTTTCAAGTATCTGCATACTGGTAGTCATACCATGCCGTCTCACGTGACCAGTTCAGACGGCGGTAGAATCCAGCTAACAGACATAAAGGATTCTGGTATACTCAAATGTACAGCTACAAATCCTTATGGAACAGTATTAGCACATGCAAATATATTAATGTCTAATAGTAAGTGGATAACTTAATTATGTTAAGAAATTATGTTGAAACTAAGGTTCCAACTCCCGCAAGCAAAGTTGAAAAGAAATCAATTTGGCTCTTTTTACGCCACTTTTGGTCACTTAGCTCACCGTTTTGGGGTCCTATACATCATTGGCTCTCACAATTTATTGTATGAGCGTTCCTGATAAATACATGTTTAACCTTAAAAATGAAAGGTACGGAGTGCTTCGCAAAATCATAAATGTTCATCTCCTGTTAAGAAGTTTGCAAATCTGTGTTATGATCTTTTTATATAATAAAATTAATGATCCCATGTGGTTAACGTCTAAATAAGATGTCATGATAGCTAGGACATATATGAATAGGAGGTGTTTTTTTTAAACCCCAGCCGCACTCCTTTTCCCAAATTTGTGTTGAGACACACACACAGCCATATAAGTACATGTATAAACAAGAGCTTTACCCAAAGATTCATTCACACAGATTTTAAAATTACTTTCTAAAGAACATACTTTTGGTTAAAACACATAGTTTAACTAAATTTTACACACACGATCTCACAATTGGGTTCCCTGGACAGTTTTATGGCTTTGCAAAATTCAAAAAATATAACTACTGATACCAGACAAACATGTCTTGTGAATACCTAAAGGATGGTATTTGGTAGATGAAGAATACTTTTTGATTTTCAAATTCGAGGAGCTAACAAGTGTTTTAATTTTACTTTCTCTTTTAAAATGAATAAAAGTTCCAAATAGACAAGCAACAACAAACAGTTCATATAATGACCAGGTGTCTGAATAACCATGCTCCGGGCTTATGTATACCATCCTCCTTTATTTCAGTTAAATCAACGGACGAAAAGTTGTTAAATCATAGAATTTTGCTCTTCCTGAATCTTTTGATTATTGAAATTGTATTCCAATATAACTGCAAATATTAAACATTGGGTACACCTTGATGTACCTCACTAATGAATTTTATTCTCGTCTTTTTACAGGCAACAATCTGTTCGTTGGGCGATGAGATTGACTGGCGATATCGAACATGAAAGACATTCATGAAATGAAAATGATGTTAAAAACATGATTTAGTGAATACATTATATAGATGACATTTTATATCTTAAATGAAATTGGAGAAATCAAAATCAGACATCCCAAACTTTCCCGATTGGTGGGGTGGGGGTCTTCTCCAATAGAACGTGTAGTCCTGACTTTTGAAATTGTTTATCTTTACAGGTAGATTGGATGATAATAATTGGTAGCTTTTAAAAATTCGAAAAACAAATACAAATACTAGTAGTTAGAAAATGATTCAGCAAAACATTTAAAGTCACGTCACGTTTCATCTTAAATCTGTTTGGCCATTTGGTCATTACGTGTTCGTTATGTTTACACAGTTTTGGCTTCTTGATCTCAATTATTTTCACGTTAACAAATTATGTATGTTTGGGTTACTCACCCAATTTTGTCTATATCACGGAACTATCAACAATTGTCACACTATTGTTAAGCTAGGCAGGGGTAGATCCAGGATTTTAGGTTTGGAGGGAGAAAACTTCAATTTTGAGGTAAAATCATCGAAGTATACTTTATTAAGCTGAGGACAACCCATGCTTTGCAAATTTTAGGGGGGCGCACATCCGCTACGCCCCCGTCCCTGCAAGTAGGTATATAACTAGGTTTTACCCCATATTTTCTCCGGAAAATGCCTGTACCAAATCAGGAATATGACGGTTGTTTTCCATTCGTTCAGGATGGTTGATATGGTCGACCGTTTGATTTTGTAGGATTTAATGGACTTTCCCTTTTGTGTGCTGTTCGGTGTGAGCCAAGGCTCCGTGTTGAAGGCCGTTCTTTGACCTATAATGGTTTACTTTTACAAATTGTGACTTGGATAGAAAGTTACACTCATACCACAATTTCTTATATCTATTCACCTTTTTGTGAATTTGCATTGGTGTGCGGTATATTTGTTTATAATATTCACTTATTATAAACCTTATTTATAAAAAGGCACAGGAACAGCGCTAAAATCTTAAAGAAAACTTGTTAATTTTATTTCAGATCATTATTTAGTTCTATGTTCCTTCTTCGGGTCATATACATCTTAAGCAATGGTATCAACTACTATACTAACCATTATAGACCATTTAATAATCTACATGTATATACATAGTATGTTCTGTTCATATATGTGTGTCATAATATAGAACAGTGCATGACTTGAAATTAAGGACATGGGCTTGAGAAAAAATGGACATAGATTAGTGACGCCTACGGCGATGATGGGTAGGATAAAAGGACACAGATTCAACTCTGACATATATATGCCTGAAAAGAAAATGATATGACAGACATCAAAATACCCAATTTGCTCAAGATTAGAAACAGGAGAATTGGGGATAGCTAGCTATAGTCTATAATAAATCGTCGTAATGAATGGTTGATGTATCAGTATTGAATTTATTCTATGTCCCAAGTTAGGGGGACGGTTTGGCAACATCTAACTAGCTTAACTTCGCCACATTCAGAATGTGTCTGTCAAGGTTTAGAGCTTGTGATTCGGTGGTTGTCGTTTGTTACTGTGTAACACATTTTGTCTTTTATTATACATAAACTAGGCAGTTAGTTTTCACGTTTGAATATTTTTACATTTGTCATTTTGGCCTTCTTTAGCTGACCAAGCGGTATGGGCTTTGCACATTGTTGAAGGCTACGGTGACCTATAGTTGTGAATTTCTGTGTCATTTTGTCTTTTGTGGAGAGTTGCCTCATAGGCAACCGTACCACATCTTCTTATTTTGATATTTGATGGAAGCTTGACAATCATTACAGTAATAGTTTGGAAGTTGTCAATGTTAAAAATTATAATTTTGTTTTTCTGCATGTATACTGTAAATTATTATTGCGAGGTTTTTATTAATGCGAATAATGCGATTGTGTGAGTATCGCAATAATAAGAACTCGCATTCTGATAACTGAAACATGGACCTGTATGCATATTTTTTCAAAATCGCTATAATTAAACTCGCATTTTTGTCCATTCTTTCAAAATCGCAATAATAAATGCACGCAATAATTTCTGAATTTACAGTAGCCGGTGATCCACAGTCATGATTGGGTGTTCATTTTGTTCTTTTAGGATGATTCAGCTAATTGAAACTTTTATCAAGATACAGATTTATTTACACACTAGCTTAGAGCATCACTTTGGGTCATGCGTAGTTGTTGCTTTAAGATGTATGACAACAACCCATCAACGCAAATAACCTAAAGACATTTAGTGGGAAATATACAGACTTCAATAATTGACATGTGTCGTAACAGTGTGTCCAAATCTTAAGCGTCTTAAATCAAGAATGAAAAAAACACTATTACAAGATCAAAGTTGATCTGTCAGCAAGACATATTCTCTAAATAAAAAACGGTAAAATTTGACATTGATACGTCAACAAAAAGGACCATACAATTAGAACTAGTACAGGAAAATAAACTCAGAATTAACCGTGTAATAAAAACATACCAACAGTTGTAACTCAATAGAGGTTGATTAGGATAAAAAACATTATTATTTATAAAAATAACTTTTTATTAAAACACCATTTATTGTACAAATGAATGAATTTTACATAAGTTAGGGTGATGATGAATGAAATGGCTGTCCTCGGGTGATGCGCATGCTTCTCAGGCGATATGAATGGATTCGTTGATGATTCTTAATGAAGAACTGTAAGAAAAAGAATAAACATTATTAATTGAGTTTTACAAATATAATTATTATATATGAAATATACGAGTGAGTTGCAGTTATAACAAATTATAATTGGTACCGTTTTACAGGCACTCAGTATATTGAGTATTGATATACTCATCATTATTCTATTGATGCAAGTTTGTTTAGAAGCTTAATCAAAGACAGTTTACTTGTCAAGATGTCCAAAAATGTACAATTCTAACTTATACGCAACTAATATATATTATAGTGGTTAAGTGCATTTAGTTATAATATAAATTAACAATATTTAAAGACATTTACACATCGTTGGTCTTTAACGGGTCGTGATGCAATGATCTTAAAACCATAACATATCAACTGGACGTTAAGTCACTAACAAGCAATTGATCATATATACCATAACATAAAATAACTTTTAACTCGCCGGGCTTGAAATTAGTTTTTATTTTACTTTTTTTCATCAATAAAAAATATCCAACAAATTGTACCTGTATGCTCATATCAAACCGACATAAACAAATTAAATACTTGTTCCACCTAAATGCATGGATTATAACTTGTTTTGCATTTATTATCATAATTCTGATAAAAAAAACCCAGAAATCATTCGGTCAACATAAACATCGAATAAACATTCTTATTTATTGTTGTAACCATTTAGGAAATTGCTCAATAAACTGCGTTAAACATCTAGAACACGCGTCATGTTTCATTTCTGCTGGAGGGAACAATAACTTTGACATTTATAGCCGTCGTATACCACTGTGTTAGTACTTATCTCTCAAGTCCAGATATAAAACATTACCAAATGGACACGCATGAAATCCGAACTGAATGAGACCAAGTGCGGTGAAAGGGTAAGACGGTTGTAAAGGCTTTAAATAGTATGGGTAATAAAGGTGTCGTATAAGGAATCTAATAAGAAAAAACAATATACTGACCTTTGCCGCCAGATTTTCCATGGCCGGAACCATGTCCAGATCCCTGTCCCATTCCTAGGTCAACGACACCATGACCAGCATCGATATGTCCATTAAGTCCTTGGTCCCAGGCTCCATTATGTCCCTGATCGAAATGTCCGAATCCTTGGTCCCACTGAGCTCCGTTATCAATGACGACTCCTTGACCACCATGTCCACCTTGACCTCCGTGTTTGTCGATTCCAATGATTGCTACTGGGTGTTGTGAACCGTGATGTCCAGCATCAACTATAAATTGTTAATAATAAACTTATCATACATACCGGGATTAAAATTTTGTACGCCTGACGCGCGATTCGTCTACAGGACTCATCCGTGACGCTCGTATGAAAAAAGTTTAAAACCCCCACAGAAAAAGTATGAAGTTTAAGAGCCTTCAGGACCTAAAATTCGAAAAGATTTTGCCAATTACAGCGAAGATAATTGTAAACAACCCTTAAATACGATTTCTACATGTTAAACTAAATTAACACATGTTATCTTTACTACATCAGAGCAGTAAATGTTAAATGAATGTAATGTGTTTGATATCTTAATATCAAAATAAAGCTAATATTGGAAACACTCTGTTTTATAAAGGATAATTATAGTAGGTATCAATAAGTTTAAAGATAAAAGTGCTTTTTTTATTCTCTTAAAAAAAATCTTTTTATTTCAAATATTTTATATTTTTCTCAATCATTTACAAATAAGAAACTTTAATAAATTCCTACCTCCATTTCCACCGAAGTGACCTCCATTTCCTCCGAAGTGACCTCCATCCACTGAAAAAAACCAAGACGAATACATTAACTAAATGAAAAATCTAAAACTCACGCTTAAAACGCTACATTTGATCTTTTTCATTCTTTTCAGAATTTGGTTAATCCTTCATTGAGTGGATATTTGTTACACATTTAAACTATAACCAACGTAAACAAGTTTTACAGGTGTTGTTCCAGATTCAACATTCTCAATTTCATTAGTACATGCCTGGTCATATTTAACGTTCAAAGTCTTAAGATAAAACACTTTCAACAACTTATGCTTAAGAAATGTGATATTCTTTTCTTGTAAACAGTTCTGTTTTGTTTAAGTTTATTAAATGAGATTTCCACTTTGGTAAGGGACATATATAAATCACGGGTGCGTTTGTTTCAACCATTTTTCAGATTTTTTTTGAATTCTGTCTCACACGGATGCTTATAAAGCGTTGAAAAAACTGTCTATTACAAACCCACTGCAGATTTAAGGAGTTATTGATCTTAACCCAGATCCACTTTATTAAGTTTCTTTTTTGTGGTCACACTGTTAATATTTACCAGAGGTTTAAAACACAAACAAATACGTATATAAAAAGAGCAGCAAAATGAGAAGAAAAATGCCAGCACCATTATGAATAAGAAATCAGTGAAGAAAGAGAAAAGGGATTTAGTAAGTTACAGTCATATGAATTCTGAATATGTTAGTTAGAAGATGATCAAAAACTGTTTAAATATTCGATTGAATGGCATGATGTAACAGTCATGGCATTCATGAATATAGCATTGGGGTGTGTCAACTAAGAGCATTATGTGACAGATATATCAGCTCTCATTAAATCAAAAAATCATTTATGCAAAGAAAACAGTATTTAATCATCTTTTTTTAAAGTTAAAATAGAGAGCATTCAATGTTTGCAAACGCGCTGTTTTGTTGTCCTTTACATTACCATTGATATTGTCGGCGCCGTCTGAAAGCAGAGAATATAAGCATGGTTACAACGTGCAGAAAAAAAATAAAAAAAAAAAGAATCATGACTAAAATGGATATAAGCAGTATAAAACAAACCAAATCACAGTAAACAGAAACTCATTAGTTCCTCTTTGATTTCTTTGACTTTTGGTTAAAAGATTTATTTTTCGATGCTTTATTTATACGGCTTGTTATAGAAAAAAAATAAGAACAATTTGCATAAAAAATAAATACTACGTTACTATATTGCTGACAGAAATGATTACCGCTGTACTAAACGAAAGTATCAGCTATACTATTTATAAATAAATAAATTAATAGATAAACAATGTTGTGAATAAATAACGGTAAATGTACCAAAATAAGCAAAAGCAATGCTAATGTATTTATACATTAATAGCGAACTATGCGATGATGTAAAAATATAGACTTACTTATTACAAGATCAGTTGGTGCACCTCCGCCAGCAGCGTTCACTTGAACTACAAGTAGTTATATAGATGTTAGTAAAATTGGAAATGCTAGCGACCAATTGAAATCGTTCCTCTTATGACATTTTGTCAGAGCTTTATTCTTTAATTATTTACCAAAAAAGTAAGGAGTGCCAAAATGAAACATGAGGTTTTGTTTGTCTTTTAAATTATAAAAATGAAAAAAACGTTTGAAATGAATGAACGTTGTTGAAAATGGCGATGTTACTTTCTTTATTATTTCCTTCAATTATTGAATTAATTTAATTTTTCGACATCTCATCAATTTCTAATTAAAAGAATTGTATTTTTAAATCAAATTCAAAAATAAAGAAAAAAAAGTGCGAGGAAGACTTACCATTGTCAGCATCAGCTGATCACGTGAAGAAAAAAGACAAAAACAGATAAATTAATATACGACATATAAACACGTGTTAATATTTTACGAGAACAAAACATAACACATTCACACACATACATATATTTTGACATTAACTATATGATGTTATAAAAGCAAAGAATTTTTCAATATTATTTTTGAATAACTCATCGTTTACCTAGTGTTGTAGGAAAGTTATACTGGTGATGCTATATATATTAATATTCGTTTTCAATAGGCTTTAAAATGACCTTTACGACAAAAGTGCTTAGAAATTTGCAATTCAACAATCACCAATACCATCAATTCGCCACCACATCCAAGAAACCGAATTTGATAAAATTAAATACAATGAAACTATTGAAATACAAAACAAACAAATAGAAATGAATAAATACAACGAGGCAAACCAATATTTTTGTCTTTAAAAGAACATATTATTTGCATGTTCAAGTACTTGAAATATGTTGTGTATTCCTATCGTTCAATAACTGTAGTTTCTACTCGATTTCTTTCAGATTATACAAAAATATCAATTTATTATTATTTTTTTTTTTTTCAATTTTCATTTTTCATTAATGGGCATGTGCAAACTGATTGTCTGATAGGAAAAAAATCAACATCATCACCAAAGATAAACCCGTATCCAAATCGTTCCTTTGATACTTACAAATAACAATTGCTCGAGGGGCGTGTGGTTGTGCTGTAAAAAGTAACGATGGCAAGGTTAATAAATGAATACATACGTATAGAGTAGGAAGACAGAAGAGGAGTACGAAAGGTCAGGAGTTAGTACGTTTTCGTTACGTCACATGCTACACAGAACACATTTAACATTTCTGTTACCTCCTCCTTTACTCATACCAAGACCCAAACCATCACCAGCCGAAAATCCTAGGCCAACTTGGGCATCTGCAGCTCCCATTGCTGCTCCGCCACCACCATGAGTTCCTCCACCAATGCCGACGGAATCATGGGTCATTCCCATCCCAGCTCCACCTTGATCTGCTGAGATACCTGCTCCAATACTTCCAGGGCCTACTCCTACACCGAGTGCGAGATCTTTAGTTCCGAAACCCATTCCTAAATCTTGAGGCAAAAAACCGAAATCGGCTCCTAAACCATGTCCACCACCGCCTCCATGACCACCACCGCCATGTCCACTGCCACCTTGACCACCGCCTCCATGTCCACCACCACCGTGACCACCGCCGCCATGTCCACCACCGCCGCCATGGTGTCCACCACCGTGTCCCCCTCCTCCCATACCTATTCCAACAGCTTTTCCTCCACCAGCAATGCCTTGACCCATGCCGCCTCCAGAGCCTAATCCAATTCCAATATTTATATCTCCTTTTCCACTGCCTTGTCCACCATTTCCTCCACCACCGTGGCCACCGCCTCCTACGTGTCCAAAATCTACATGTCCCCCATGGCCTCCTCCTCCATGACCAACATCTACGAGTCCACCGTGTCCTCCGCCATGGCCTCCGCCACCTCCGTGTCCAATATCTACAAATCCACCGTGTCCAATTTGGCCTCCACCTCCTCCGTGTCCAACATCTACAATAGCACCAGGGCCTCCGCCCCCGGCTTTTCCACCATGACCCCCAATACCAAAGTCAACAAATTGACCTGCGTTTAAGTCAACTGCACCGCCAATTGGAGCTCCTTGATCGAAAACAAGTTGTTGTCCCCCACCTAGAAAATCAACTCCAGCCCCACCTGCATGTACTGCTTGGTCAATGAAAATGTCTCTTGGTCCTCCATGACCACCATTACCCCCACCATGACCTCCGTTAGCACCACCGTGGCCGCCGCCACCACCATGGATCCTGCCACCACCATGACCTCCACCGCCACCATGGCCCCCACCATGGCCGCCTCCGCCGCCATGGCCACTACCAGTACCAGTTGCATCATTTAATATAGCCTGAACAGCTTGCGTTTGAAGAATCTTTTCTAGGTTTTCAGGCCCGAAACCAAGGTCAAATATTTTAGCTGCACCGGTATCGATAACTTCTATCCCATTGCCTAGTTTCATTATATTGGCTGCTCCAGCAGCTTGGGCGGCTAAAGATAATGGTCCACCTCCGCCTCCGCCACCAGAAGAAAAAAATAGGACGAAATAACTGATTGTCACGTTTTTTAAATCATAATTACAGTTTCTTTAAATAAGTATCCTTGTTAAGTATGCGGTTATTTTGTTTTTCAAAGTATATATTTCTTGAATGTTACATATGTTGTTTTAAATCATATAACGCATACTTATAAGGATGTTTATCTAGAAACCTAAAAAAGCAAACAATATCATCCTTTTGTATTTGATTCTTTTTGCAAGTCGCATATTTCTGTTTGCTGAGTGGGAGCTGTAAATAAAATCGCTGCGTACGCAGAGCAGATTATAAACGCATGCGCATGCAGGTTGTTAATGGAAAAGAAGAACTGTACATGTTTCAAATAAGAAAGTTACAACGTAAAGTAAGCAAAAAAAAATCTACGAATGTAACAAATCGAAATGAACTTAATGAAATGTAAATGTCACTTTATGTCTTTCTAGGTAAACAAAGTGTCAAGCGATTTAAACAGACAAGTCGGCTATCAGGTCAAATACAAAGATGAACATAATCATTAATAACAAATAGTGTGGCATTTTGATATTTCAACGTCTTTACAAAAAGAGACTGTAAAGATTTGGTAAAAGAACAAAGTATTTATCTTATCAATAACAATAAACTTCTGGCCGATGTTAATAATGCTAATGCGAGGTGCGTCTGCGCGCAACAATATCTTACCGACTCCACCGCCAAACTGGAAATCGCCTGCTCCCCATGCGTCAAAGCCAAAATCTAAAATATTTTTAAATGTATTTTAGTATTGTTGTTTTACTTAATATCCAAATTGTACGAATGAGAAAATTTAAAAAAAAAAATTAATAATGATTTTATTCCAAAGTTTATAGAAATCGAATAAAAAACATTTTCAATGAATCATTTATTTAAACATGTGTATAATGCCTTATTTGAAAAGTACAAGGGAAATGGGGTTTTTTTCTTGCATAAGGTCAAAGTTACGTATGTCTTTGTTGTGTGTCTTCATAGGTTGTAGGTTTTTGATAATCTGAAGTGAAAACAAAACCAGAACACACTTTTTTTTGTTATTGTAAGAAGAAAAAAATAGGATTTCTAAAAGCGCATTTGAAATTTAAACATTTTATATGTCTTAATATTTATTTGGTTAAAAATAAAAAATAATTCAAAACAGACGTGTAGTACTGTTTGATAGATAGCAGTATTGAACAAGAATTTAAAATAGCGCCACACTGTCTGGCATGTTGATTTTTAGTTTATTTTATTGCGATCTGCTAGTAGACTTAGGGGGTTCGGATTGTCGCAAAACACGTGAAAACAAACAAATTTGGTCCAAGACAAGTGAAAAATTTTCAGCGATGCGAAGCAAGTCTTACCATTAGAGCCGCCGCCAATCTGTATGTTGTCTACAAGCAAGATATCACATGTTAGTATAGCTATAGATATGTATTTGTTAGCATATATACTTGGAGTCACACTTTTCAAAAAGCGGGGTTAAAGGTCACACTAAAATGACTAACATTGAAGAAAAAAATATGATTGAAACCTGTCATTCTATATATCGGCCGGTATAGCAAAAGCTCATGATAAATAGTAATGCTTATCATAAGCCTTTAATATTTACAGAGGAATCTATTGTCTAGTGTTTTGGATTGGTCAAAATATGACAAATGACATGTTTTCCTCATGGAGAAACTTTTTTTTAATCAACCAGTTAAAATGCAAAAGATACGGACACAAGAGCAGTCCAACGTCCTGTTTAGATAAGTTAAATGATATTTTGCATTGGCCGTGAAAAGAAGAAAATGATAAAAATAAACAAATTAAAAAAAAAACGTAAATAAATACAGAAAATCTACTTTCATGCATGAGTGAGCTATTTTACACATTCTGATGGAAGGACGCCCTACATTCTAGCGTGAATGTTATTTGCACGAATGACACTATTTACACATCCTTATGGAAAGACAGTCAGTAGCCTTACAGTCTATCATGAATGCCATTTACTGCAGCGATTCAGCAAGCAGCGCTTGGCGCAAACAGAAATAAATGATATCATTGCGAATAGAATATATTAAGTATCAAGCAATTGTTTCGTATATTGTATACACATTTGACTATTCTTGAAGACTTTATTTGTTCTTAGTGTTGTTTTGTTCCTGTCTTATTGACGTATAGCCCAAATCTTCTTGCATACATATTTATATAAAAATGTGAAATTATCTTTGAAATAGTATAGACTTTATCATGAAAAACAACGCTGGTAACTTAATCACTACGACCATATACGTATTCCTCTATGTGTAAGAGTTTTCATTGGTTTCGTTATGTCATATTTTCATTTTTTTATGTTGTTTTAATGAGAATCCATGATTTGAATATAATAATGCAAGATTTCAATTCTTCTATTTTTTTGTACGAGAATAAGAATAATGTATTATATTAGATTATGTACTTAACTAATATCCCTTATTTTGAAAAAAATCATGAGTACATAACATATCTAATTAGGTACTTACCACCGCCGGCAACAATAACATCTGGCTTGGAGTGAACTAGAAATAATAATAATAATAATAATAATAATAATAATAATAATAATAATAATAATAATAAAAATGAAAATAAAAATAAAAAATAAAAAAAATAATAATAATAATAATACATTCACTGTGCTGCCATTCCAAAAATAGAAAAAAAAATAGAAAAAAAATAGAAATTTGCAAACGGGAATGTTATTATCTGAACCTATCTATTTAATATTCTGAAACTTTTATATCTGGTTCTATCAATGATAGAATTTTGGAAAACGTCAGGGAGAAAATATTTGTTAATTCATTAACGGAATATAAGATAATCATTTGTCTAAAATAAGAAACATTTGCAGGCGTGGAAGATGAAATTTAAAATTCACAATACAGACGTCTTTTTGATATTTTAGTCGTTGTGTTACTGTCCAAATGACCTGTACCCCACACCCTCTTTTACCATGAATATTTAAATTAATATTATTCATAACAGATATTATTATACTTTATGCAAATTTCTTATATTATCCATTCATTTCATTGGTCACGTAACCCGAACAATTCAGTCGTTATATTCCACTGCTCTACGATGGCTACATAAACCTCGCGAGTGGGAGAGTCGATCACGGGGAGGGACTGAATTATTCGGGTTATTGGTCACGCGGCATTTGTTAATTTTCACTAACCTGTCATAAGCCCCGCCCACCCATAGCAACATGTGATAATATTAGCAACGGGTGCTAATGCCTAAAATTAACACCCGCTGACCCCGAAGTTTGCCGATCGGGAACAATTAAAACCCGCTCCAGTCGAGGTTTACCGATTCTTATTTCTACATCATTTCCGTCGTTTTGTTATTCTATCTTAATTCATGACTTTATCTTTTTGCAATTGTCCTTATAACATAGTGCAAACTTGAATCATTAGGCATTCAGTATAATAAAAAAAACATACTGCCCTTGGATGAAGGTGTTAGGGCGACTTCCGTTTTGGGTGATAATTTTTTCCCTCGTGTGTTAATCTACCCTAACACCTTCATCCAAGGGCGGTATGTTTATAATAACACATGTGTTTTACGTAATTTCGAAGGATTGTGCATAAATTTGCCACCAGGAAGTGAAGGAACGAGGTTGTTTGATTGGACTTACTTGCTGGTCCTGGAACTGGTACTTCAATTACTTTTTCTGTATGGTGATGTACTGGTACCTCTACGATTTTTTCCTTTGGCACATAAACCTTAACTGGTTTAGGCACGTATTTCACAATAGTATTGTAAACGGGTACTGGAAAATAAAAACAACGGTATTAATTTTTAAAGAAGAAGAAAAAAAAACAAATTGACCAATGAATATTTTGAAAACAATGAATAAATAGACTAAGAAAGTGACCTGTTGTGAAGGTATATGTATAAAAAGAAAAGCTATTCCTAGATCCTATAGTGTGTCTGAATAAAGGAATGATCTTCCTATGTCATTTTTACTGTAAGTGTTATTCTTACTACATGTATATTTCGTCTACTGAAAAATTTACTTGTGTAAATATTCTATTTCTTGATTGAAAATCTACTTATATTATCTTTTGCTGAAGACTGCTTAGTATATCCGAAGCATTCGTTGTGTCGTCTTCGACAAAAATAATCTATTATGCGTAAGATGTATCTTAATTATATCAGTTTTGCTCTTCAAAAAATTGTGCGATGTGTATAAACACATTTTCTATTAGCTACAGCTGGGAACAGTATATCTATAAATATGTTACTGGCTACATAGATATAAGAAGATGTGGTATGAGTGCCAATGAGACAACTCTCCATCCAAGTCAAAATTTATAAAAGTAAACCATTATAGGTCAAAGTACGGTCTTCAACACGGAGCCTTAGCTCACACCGAGCAGAAAGCTATAAAGGGCCCCAAAAATTACTAGTGTAAAACCATTCAAACGGGAAAACCAACGGTCTAATCTATATAAAAAACGAGAAACGAGAAACACTTATGAACCACATCAACAAACGACAACTACTGAACATCAGATTCCATGTATGGAAGACTGAATTCAAGATAAATGTATATATGATATATGAATAATTACCTTTTTTAATGATTGTGTGAGGTACCTTCACTTTTTTTATAACAGGAACTGAAAGATAAGAATCAAACATTTTTTAATTGCGACGGAAAACAGCATGTATATTGTCTTAGAAATGTTAAATCTAAGTTTCATTTTGAACAACCCGAGTCAGCAAAAAGGATAAATAAAAAATAAAAAATGCAAAATTATTATAAGTCATTTTTATTAAAGGTGTATTGGAACACATGTTCACAATTTAAATTATGTATCAATCAATGTAAATATAAAAAATAGTAATCAACCCTTTGACGAATTAGCTATTTAAAAAAAACATCTTTACAGTGTGACAAAAATAAATAAATTATTAATTGTCTCCCCTTGGTAATGTCGTTAGGGAGAATAAACATATTTGTATTTCTTATTGTCCCGATAAATGAACTTACTTCGAATATATCTAGGAATATATTTTGGAACCCTCTTTATGTATGGGACATGCTTTACAATTGGCACATACTTTACTGGCACTGTAAAAAAATATATATATAAGTTAATTCTTTTAACGTTAATGACAATACTAGCTTGAAAAGAATTAGTGAAGATTTGTAGAACAAAAAACAAAACAGACAGCGAGACATTCGTGGATAGTGAATGCACCTCGTTAAACAACCCCTTAATAGTAGAAAAACGATAACAAAAATATAAACATTTGGTGATTTTAATCAGACTTTAAAGCAATAACGCGTGTACAAATAATGTTGAAAATTCAAATTACCGTTTTATGAAGAAAAATATCCATAATTTTATGTCATATTTATTAAAAGAACACCACAGATATTTAAAACAAAAACCCATAACTATTAATAAAGTATATTGTTTCACTATTGTTAATTGAAGATATTCATACAAGTTAACTATCCAAAATTACATAAAAAGTACTCTACAAAAATACTATTACAATGAGAAGCATATAACGGTGTATATGTATTAGTATATTAACTAACACAGTGTTAGTTTTACAAATTAGCAACTGCGCTCAAGTTAAAACATATGAGAAAATAAGTGGGGTTGAAAATAATATGAATTTTATTTTGAACGTCGCTTTCTGTCCGCTGATTCTTTCAAATCACAAGTGCGTGCGGAAAATATCATATGCTATGCTTCGCATAAGTAAAGGGGGGGGGGGGAGAAAAGTTATAATTTAACATGAAAATATACAGTAAGCAGGTTTATTGTTGGTCAAAATCCACATCTTCGAATATATGAGGGGTCATTCATTTCTTTATTCTTTATTTTTAAAGCAATTGTTCTCTTTTCTTTATACTTTTTGCCCATTATTCTATATATTTATACATTTTAGCACCCAACTATTCTCCTTTTTTTTTTTAAATATTTTAGCCTATTTTTCTCTATTCTTTGGTTTTTTTTTTTAGCTATGTATTCCGCACTTTTTGTCCACTATTCTATATTCTGTAAACCCATCTAGAGCCTCCTATATTATGAAGCTTATCACATCAGTAGAAGGTAGAAATCCTGATATCAGGTGCGTACCCAGCACTGTCCCCGCCTGAATCTGCCCCTAAATATTCAATGCAATATACTTATTTTATTGGTATATTATACATGAAAGAAAACTGTATAGGTTGGGAATAAATTTTGTCTCTATCAGACGTTAAAACACTAATATGAAAAGTAGAATGTCGATGCTTTTCATTAAAATATCTACATGTACTATACCAAAGAAGAAAGAGAATGATAAACAAAACTTAGGGGAATCGCATTAATCCCGAACGGAGCGAGACCGAAAGCATGCATAGAGCAAGCACAGTCTTAACTGGCAATAAATATTATATATGCTACAAATTGCTTCCACCAATTCACATATATTTGAAAAATAGATTATATATAAACAAATATTCTGACGACCCATGTTATTATATTATGCAATTTTGCATATAATTTACAAAAAATTATATACAAATCAGTTGATTAGCTATATACTGTATGTAGCGTATAAATGATTTGGTTATTGATATGCGCACGTAAAATATTGCATTTTGGACAAAAACAGGTTTACATCGACGTGTTATTGACATACATTGATGCGCTGTCGTACATTGACAATACAGGTCCGTTACCTCATATATATATATTATACATGTCCGTTCCCGTACTTACCATTTTTCGAATATCTTAAACCAAGTTTTGATCTAGGCAAGTATCGCCGTCTATAAGGATCTAAATGGATTTAAACTTTGTTATAAGTGATCATTGGTTGATTGCAATTTGCTTAACGTCCAGTGGCAAATATGTCATGTATATTTAGGACGATTTAATTGGTGTGATGCATATACTTTATATTTAATTCAAAGACAAAAAAGTAAAATCTTAGAGGTATATATGGGTCAGCGATATCTAGGACAAATTATCAATAACGATATGGTCAGGGTGGGGTTATGTCTGGGGTGCATTTTTGTCATACAAGGTAATATATATATATGTAAACACAATCCGTATCGAATTAATCACTTATTTTCCAAATATGAAACCAAAAATTATCCTTTATGTATAACAAATAGGACAAGAAAATATATTTCTAAATCTTAAAAAGGACAAGCTTCAAATCAAATATTTACAGCTGTCTGTATCAGATTGTATAAAAGGGTGACTCAAAAATCTGTCTCAAACTTTTAATTAGTAATTAGAAATCACCCTAAGACTTCTTTCCTCACATTATACTGAGCTACATCCAGCGGCTGAAATGGGAGGTTTGCCAGAGAGTCTTGACTTAAAATTGAAAAAGAGGAAATGTGGAATATACCGGAACTGAAAATTTATTACAACAAACAAGTTGTCCATTTCCCGCGAATTTCTTATAGGACTATTATCTAGTAATTATTAAAACGTCTTCGTATAATTTAATAAATAATTAGACAAGAAAACGTACAATTATCCCTACATTTAGTGCATCATAATAAAGCTATTGAACGTTAAAAAAATCCTCTAGTAGAATGTAAAGCCGGAGGGTCTGCGAGGACATATTGTGTATATAACTAAACAAAGGTCCAACAGAGACAAGTGTTGACAGATGATTGACAGGAAAGTTACTGAATGTGTGAAAATATCGGAACGTTATGGTTCGCGACTTTAATACCTTTTATGGTCTTCATACATACCTATTAGAATCGCCATTAATGAATATAATTCACATTATACCATGAGAAAGTATTTTACATCTATCAAAGTTTTCCTTTTTTACATACAACTTGTCGTTTTTGGAAGATTTTTTTTTATGTTGACAAGGTGATGGATGGGAACGGAAGATCTATTCAATTACTCTCTTTAGATAATAGATATCTGTTCTTCATATTTTAGACCACAAAAAAGACTTTCACATATAAATATTTTACCTTAACTTCTTTCCCGCAAAAGTACTTGAAAACCTTTAATTGGTTTAAACAAAACAAACAACATATACATACTGCCGACAGTCCAGACAGCTTACATGCTAAGACACTTACAATGTAGGTAACGCCTTAAGTATAAATGAAGGTCTTAGACTATTTTTCTTTATTATTTAATTTTTTGCCCATTATTCTCTATTCTTTACATTTTAGCACCCCATAATTCTCTATTCTTTTTATTTTCCCCCCAATTTAAAAAAAAAATGTTTGTCCCTTTATTGTCTTTTTTACGTATTCTCTATTTTGTAGATAGTTAAACTTAAGTTTTTAAAATGATAAGAATTCATGAAATGTAAACTGTTTTTCGTGATCTTTGTAGGTTGGATATTTACTGAAATGCCGTGGCTATATTAGATTTTTCGGTAAGTTGTATTTAAAAAAAAGGAAAGAAAAACATGCAACAGACAGATGGACAGACAGACATTTAATACTTACATTTGTGACTCGAAACTGAAAGAAGAAAGTCAAGAAAAGGATAATTCATGCTGTAGAGGAAATGAGCATTTTAAGAATGAAGATAGAGATAAAAGTAAGAAGATATAGATTAAAATATGAAGATAAAGTTTAAACAAAATCTTTACTCACTCTTATAGGATGAAGCTGAAATATAACAATAATTTGAATAACCTTGTACCTCACAAAATTTACATATCTACATATATTTTCAATTCAATTATTTAAGGTATTCATCCTATAAAAAAGAAGAAATTGTAAAACCTAGTTGGTGGAATGATCTAAGGGACTGAACACAGTGCAGGCAGGGCTGCAGCTAATGTCATGGCATAATGAATTAGAATCACTCTTAGGGTACAATATGAATCTGCAAAATTTCTTTTCTGACATTAATATTGTTAGGCTTTATTAAGTTTCATACAATAAATAACTTATGCTTTAATTGAGAAACACCATTACGATACAAAAAATACCACACACGATCCTTTTTGTTTATAAAAAATACAACCATAATAGTAAAGTATTCGGTTTTACAAAAAATATACATCTACAGTTAAATTTCGTGTAGTACATAACACTTTACTTTTAAATATAACGCAAATTATTTAAACGTTCCATGCGATCAAATTTGCCTATTTGAATTATGGAAAAACTCAGTCTTATAAAGCAAACTTTAACCAATGTATAAATGGTTCGTACTAGCTTTTTCTTCAATTTTAGTAGGAGGGAGAGAACAGAAGTGACTATTTTTGTTTTACCTTATTTTCCAAAAACTAATAAATCTATTAGTTAATAGTTATTGATGCTAAAATCAAAACAACAACAATGACGCTCTTTGATAGTTTGTGTACAACACATCAAACGTTGTGGTCGACCTTTTTTGCTTTAAACTATGTTTATTTCTGAAGTACAAGCGGTTGAAAAATTTTAATTTTTGGCGGGAAAAGATTATCTAACTTGTTATGCTTAATTGTTCCTTGCTTAGCATTGTTTAATGCTAATTTTTATATCAAATCTTAGAAAATGTTATTAAATTGTATGATAAATATATAAGAAATTACAATTATTTAAGTTCAACTCAAATACAATCCTAAACGAACATATAATTGTTGGTTGTATTATACTGATTTCACTTGTACTCGGTACTAAACATGATTGAAAATCTCAGTCACCATCTCATTTGTCTCACAAATATATTATATTTATATACCACATTATGTGGTTAATCCATATTCATAAAAAAAAATTGAAATACAAAATAAAACGTCAGTAACATAGAGAATTCATTTTCATATACAAATTTAAAAAAAAAGAAATACAAAATAAAACCTGAGTACCGTAGTAGATGGTTGATCCATATTCATTTAACTTTATTTTTTTCTAAAACGAAATAATACTTGAGTACCATACTAAATGGTTAATTCGTATTCATATATGTAAAAAAAGACATTTTAATTTAATATTGAGTGAAATAGTAAATACTTTATGTATATTCATATACATTTTTTAAATAAATAAAATGCGAAATAATACTGGAGTACCATAGTAAAACGGTAAATATGGCGTACAAAATTATAAGCCTGGTTATCTGATGAGTTTTTTGTATCCATATTCATAGAAATAAAAAAAAAAGAGTATTAAATGGTTAATCCATATTCATAATCAAATAATATGAGAAAAAATTAAATGGAGTACCACAGTGTTAATCTATTTTTACATTAAAAAAAAAAAAAAAAAAAATAAATAAATAAATAGAATTGAGTAGACTAGTAAATGGTTAATTCATATTCATATAGAATGCATGTAAAAAATAAAGTCTTACCACATTCCAGTGCTACGATGACAAGCGCTAACAATATAAGTTTGTTCATTTTGGCACGTCGACTGAATCACTGGTGGATCTTTCCTGGTACTGAGCGAATCATCATAAACTGAAAACATATATTTATACATATTTACTATAAAATAATGATTTATTACTATATACTGTCAGCTCTAAAGATCAGAGGCCATCTCTGGGAACAACTTGGACAATTAACGTCAAAGCTATTATAAAAGATATGTTTCTTTTTCTCAAAATTTATACTAATTTACGAATATCAAAATGTATATAGTTCAAATTAGTCTACATAGTTTTAATTGTTTTTATTTTATGTTGCCACCGTTCCCTTTATTCATACGAGGCCCCTATTTAGGATGGGTACTGTGCATGGTCATTTTCACAATTTATCACCATAAAGCATGTAATTGACCAGTTGCATGCATGTACAACATGTAAATCAGCTGTCAAAAGTACAATTGAAAGACCGTTTGTATGTAGTTATGTATTGTTTAAATTTGATATGTTTACATAACGTACAGACAATTGTAGTCTGCTACACATTTTATTATAACCCTTCAGACAAATAAGGTAAAATATTTATTAAACTTGATAACATCAATTTCAAACAAAGACTACAAGAGTTTCACCAAAATATAATAATTGCTATATTTTATTGCGAAATAAAATAAAACTTAAGTTCATATTCTAAATAAGTAGTTCTTACAACATGTAATTAAAAAAGAACGATAACAAATAATAAATTAACACACAATGAAATTTTATTATATAAAACAACTTTTACAAACAACTGTCACTGAAAATTTTCCATATTCAATTACTTAGAAATGAAGTCCCCCCCCCCCCCCCATGCAATTTAATATTATAAAACTGACAAAAAAAATCCTACTGCAAAAGGAATAATAAAGAGCCTATATTATAAAATCTAAAATATTTTTCAAAAGTTTCACGTGTTTCCATAAAATAAAACTTTGCATGGAAGGAAATCAACAGCAAAACTGAAATAATGAATCTGACAAGCAAGAAATATAGATACATTTCCAACTCAATATTGTTAACCAATGCCTAAGTTTGTTTATTCGTTTGTTTGATAAATACTCAAAATTTTGCAAAAATATGTAAAATGCGGGTTAAAGCTAACTTCGTACTTTATTTAGTCTTTTTAACTTTTTGATTCGAGCGTATCTGATGATTGGGTCTTTTGTAGACGAAACTAACGTCTAGCGTACACAATTTTAATCCTGGTATCTCTGATAAGTTTATTTTCAAGCATTATAATTTGGTCATATAAAATTGAGAATGGAAACGGGGAATGTGTCAAAGAGACAACAACCCGATTAAAGAGCAGAAAACAGCCCATATGTTTGGAAATAAGCCATCATAATAGTATTAAAACCTTAAAGAATAAGCATCAAGCTTTGATATTGTAAATTTAAATAAAGAATAAAAGTCTTTTTGAAAATGGCCCTCGAGTAAAATAAATTTAGGGGATATTTGCCCTTTACATGTATTTATCTATTTCTTTTTTTTTACTAACCATAAACTAAAAAAATAACTAAAATGTAATCATAGAAAGCCATAAAAACGCCAATATTTAAGCAAGAGCTAAATGTACTTTGTTTAACTGAATCGGAGAGACATCATACACAAGTTTGAAACTGAAACATGTTGCCAAGATTAGGTCCAATTGGACCAGTGCTTTCGAAGAGATTGATTGATTGATTAATTGATTGATTGGTGTATAACGCCACTTTCAGCGCTATTGTGCTATTTTGTGGCGATCAATAAAGATTGGAATCGAGCGCACCTACCACTTGTGGGATTCGAACTCACAACCTCTGTGTTGACAGGCTAGTGATACAGTAGTTCGACTACTTAGGCCAACTCGGCCACCGAAGCCCCTTGTTTTCAAAGATGAATTAGAACACGTTAAATAAGTTTACCGACTGATTGATGGTTTGTTGATGTGTAACGCTTATTTCAGTACACTTGGCTATACTATGGCTGCCAGTTTTTATTGGTGGAGGAACCCAGAGTACCCGCAGAAGAACAATTATTGCTACGAGTGGGGTTCGAAGTTCACAGACGAAAGACAATGACTAGGACAAAGCATGAACAGGGGAAAAAACTTCTATAAGTTGGTACCCTTACAAAAACTGGTGCAAATTATCATGATTTTGATATAAGTCGCATTTAGAGTGAAATTAGAAAATAAGTATAAAGGCTAGAGGCGAACCTGTCGTGAAGTGATAAAACTTTCTTATGAGTACAGCTGACTTCAGTAAAATGATGATACTTCTATATTATATACATTGATTGTTATTTGCTAAACGTCCAGTGGCAATTATTTCATGTATATTGAGAACGTTAACACATATTTAATAATACAATAGGTAGGTTCTGCAAGTGACCGACCTGGTATGAAGGGCGGAAACAATGGATTGCCACTCGAAATGAGAATATGTTAGAAAGGGGCAGACATTTTCCCATGCAACATGTAATCTTCAAGCCTCTTAGATAGATGTTGCAAAGGTTCTTGAACGTGTGAAGAGCTTGGCTTTCTTCCTGCACGAGACATCATATTTAACTGTTCCATTTCCGACCGAAAGTGGCTGCGTATTTATACATCCCAGACAGCCACACAAACGCCCCACTTTAACAACGTTTTAACTGCTGGAACTTTAGACGCCCAGGGATAACCATACGTCTTCTATGGTTCTCCTGTATTAGTCTCTCTCTCATAGTAATGCACAGTTTAATAGTATGCAAATATTATGGTTTGTTCATGATATTCTCATATTGAATTTATTACCATATATAATAGTTATATATTTACAATCTGCTTCGTCAAGGTCTGACAAGCGTGTATTGGCGGCAGTAGGTCAAACGAATGATTAACTCGGGAGAAAAAGCAATATTGTTTTTTTATGATGGTTTTATGTTTATTTCCAAGTCTTGCAAGATATATTTTTTTCTTTTATATTTTATTGTTATATAAATTTTAAAAATAAATCATATTTCAATGGAAAAAATTTGAAAATACGTCATGGAACTATATCTTTTTTTCGAGTTCTGACTTCATTTTGATGCAACTTCTTTGACAATATCATTTGTTGCATGACGTTAGAGAAATAAAAATAGGATATATATTCCATGAAAAAAGAGTTTTTCTTTGACCTTGAAACCATCTTGAAGTCCTGGTAAGAGTTTTAATTTGACCTTGAAATCATCTTGTAATCATGGTATTTCACTGCAAACGACGAAGTTTATTTCCTTAATCCCCCCCCCCCCCCAAAAAAAAAAAAAATTTTTTTTTTAGGTGAGTCGGGTATTCAAAACAAAACTGCCCGTGTCCTGATTAATCCAGCACTGTTTAACTGTTACGCAAATGCACAATATAAATTGTCTAATTACATTGTAGTTTGACAGATATAGGGTATGTTATTTGACTTTTGACGTTAAGTACAAATACATACACAAAAGCAATATTTAATGCTAAGGGCAGTTAGCACAATGTCATGTAAGGTTAACCTCGGGTCATTTACTTACCTCTATGTTCATATCGAACTTCAGAAAAAGTAATATCATACCATGACACAGATGACAATAAATTTGTGTTTTCATTTAGTGACGAAAATGTTTACTTTTACACTGCCAAGATCTGCTGTGATATTTTATTGAAAAGAAAATGTTTATTAAATTCGTAAAATGTGTATTTTTATTATGTTTTATATTTTATGAGTATATATATATTTATATATATATATGTATACAAGTCTAAATTGAAAACAACGTTCAAACCTATGATTGCGTTGGATAAAAACCGCAATTTTTATACGTGTGCATGCAAAAAAAATTTCTTGGTAGAGGGGTCTAAATACAGCACAAACAACATTTTCCAAAACACCAAAAAGTGGAAACGTATGTTTTAACAAAACGCAATTGACTGGCAGGTCGAACAACGGGTGTTCTGAAACCCTGCTGACTGCCATTGGCGATTGCCAAATAAACGGATCACCAGATGTAACAAAATGGATCCTAACTGTTAAATAAATTTAATACCAAACAGAAAACAATAAACTTGCGGAAAAGATGGTATACCGCATATATATATAAATAAGTCTAAATTGAAAAGAACGTTCAAACCTATGATTGCGTTGGATAAAAACCGCATTTTTTATACGTGTGCATGCAAAACAAATTTCTTAGTAGAGGGGTCTAAATACAGCACAAACAACATTTTCCCAAAAGACCAAAAAAAGTGAAAAAGTATATTTAAACAAAACGCATTGGACTAACAGGTCGAACAACGGATGTTTTTAAACCCTGCTGACTGCCATTGGCGATTGCCAAATAAACGGATCACAAGATGTAACAAAATGGATCTTTATTATTATTTTAATACCAAACAGAAAACATTAAAATTGCGGAAAAGATGGTATATCGCAAACATGAGGTGCAAACATTTGTACACCATATCCGGATTTCGACAATTAATGTCTCTTCAGTGATGTTAGGAATCGAAACGGTATTTGGAAGGCCATATAATGTACCTCAATTTAGGATAGACTCTTGAATTTTGAAGAGTAGAAATAGGATGAACGAATAATATAAACCCGAAGGCAAATATAATACAAGCCCAAACGAAAAAATATAAATAAGTCTAAATTGAAAACAACGTTCAAACCTATTATTGCGTTGGATAAAAACCGCAATCTTTATACGTGTGCATGCAAAACAAATTTCTTGGTAGAGGGGTCTAAATACAGCACAAACAACATTTTCCAAAAGACCAAAACAGTGAAAAAGCATATTTAAACAAAACGCATTTGACTAACAGGTCGTATATATATATATGTATATAAATTATATAGTCTCTCATAATTCTTTTTAGAGTTTCTCTTGTTTTATATTTGAAGTTATAATAATGTGTAAATGTTTTGTAAGAGGTGAGACTTAAATAAAATATTGTCTTGTCGATCTTGCCTTGTCAATAATGATTGAGAAACACATCTTAAATGAATTTTCTGTATTTCGTACTGTATGTTTAGAAATGTCTAAATTTCAAGAATTATTTCGGAATAATTGGTCTGAATAATTTTGTCCTACGGTCACTTGTTTTTCCGGTATTGTGAGGCGTACAGATGTATTTATCTTTCAATCCGCCAACCATTGTAAAAATAACAGATACACACATATATGTTTCTTCTATTTGTACAGTATACGAATAAAGTACCCGGGTATCTTTTTTGTATGTTGAGCAAGGTTAACACTAATGTTTGAATTACTATTTATACGTAACAGTTCATTTTCGTGTACCCTACGCGGTTTGCGCTTTAACCAAAGCATCACCTTAAATTGCAGGATACAAAACAATATACGTACACTGTCGGAAATGTAATAAAGCCTCGCTTTTCATCCTGCAAACGAATTGCATATTTTCCTATACAATGTTATAAAAATAGAGAGATGTGGTAAAATTGCGAATGAGACAACTATCCAAGTTCAAATGAAGTGGATATAAGCATTTACAGTCAAACCTGGCCTTCAACAATGAGAAAAAACTCATACCGTATAGTCTACTATAAAAGGCCCCGACATGGAAAACTATGAAACAGTTGAGTTGAGAAAACTAACGGTCTAATTTACAACAAAATAATTTTCGAAAAACAAGCATGACAGACATGAACCAACGACAACTACTGAGCTACAGGCTCCTGACTTGTGATAGGCACAATTGGGGCGGGGTTAAACATGTTAGTAAGCGCCAAACCCTCAACAAAACCTGGGACAGTTGTGTAGCATTAGAACACAAGAACACACTATAAACATCTCTAAAAAATGGCTGAACCTACACAGAACGATACACAGCAAAAAAAACAACTTACAAAAACACAGACCTGACGAGACATGGAATTTATGCATCCCCCACAACAAAAAACAAGAAGTACGGATCTGATAGTACTCACAGTTACTGACAGCAAGAATAAAGCTGATAACAACTAATAACAAAAAGCATGCATCTAAGACTAAAATACCAATCGGTACACATCCAACATCAAATGGATTTAGTGGAAATATGTCATTAAGGGAGCTACCATTTGATTTTTATGGGTATTTGCAAAAAAAGGCAGGATGACAATTTATGTTAAAAAAAAAGTCAGGATAAACTAAAAAAAAAAGGCAGGACCAAATAGAGTGAAAAATAAAAAGGCAGGACCGAATAGAGGGAAAAATAAAAAGGCAGGACAACATTTTTCATCCTAGCCCCCCCATAAAAATCAAATGGTGGCTTCCTAACAGTCAGAGAAAAAGATGACTTAGTGCAATGCCAAGATAAAGGTATCGACAGGTTGTAGAGCCATGAATGTGCATATGAAAATAAAAATAATATTTATAGTCTAATTTTAATTTACTGATAACAAAATCAATATTTATACCAATAAAACAATATTCAAAGATCTAATTACAGGGTTGAATTGGTAACTTTTAACAATAAGTTTATTTAGAAGATTACTACGTTTACCCGGATCGTATCTTAATTACCGGGCAGGGTAAACAACATCTCCGTTAAAATTAGTATGTGCTATCCCGTTTGAAATAAGTTTTCTACAGGTACAACCAAACTTCCAAATCAAATTTATGTATATGTCTTTTTTCTTTTTTTTAGTTGTTCTTTGTGCATTGTGCCAATCTGATGAGTAAACCCCTTTCCAATTGCTTTTACAGTATTGTCTTATATTGTACTATTTAAATACTGTAAGTAAGGGGAAGGTGAAGCGCTCACACACGTTTTAATCCCCTCATATGCTGTATGTTTTGTCGTAAGTCAGGAACGTGTGATTCACTGGTTGTTGTTGGTTGTTGTCTGTCGTATTTGTTTTTTTAATTGTTTGTTATTAGCATCAATTAGGCCGATCTCTTTTGAGTTGTCTCAAATTCTGTAATACCAGGGTCTTTTATCTGATTATATGGTAAGGGGGTTTCTCATTGTTGAAGGCCGTAAGATGAAATATTAATAGTCTTAACATCCTCGTTCTTTGGTCTCTATTTGATAGTAGTTTCATTTGCAATCAGAATACCACATCTCCTTTTTTATATTATGATAGATATTGGAAATAAAAGTTAAAGATTTAAAATGTATTTCGACAGCACAAAAAGATAGCATATAAATGGACACAAACATGAAAGTCATTTTCTTCGTTCCATTATCAGTAGTCCAACAAACAGGCTGATAACTAATTACTGTTGCATGTTTGTAACTATCTAAAGTTGGTAATGATATGAGGGTGGGGATGGGGGTTTACAGAACAGAGAAAAATGGACTAGAAAAAAAAGAATAGAGAATAATGAGGTGCTAAAATATGAAAAATAGAGAATAATGGGCAAAAAGTATAAATAATAGAGAAAAATGGCCTAAAAATTAAAGAACACAGAAATGAAGGACCCCTTCCCCCTCTCCCTCCCCCAATCCAGAACCTCATATATGAGCAGTACATGTATTTTGTTCATTTTTATTTCGAGTTAGGATAGTTATATTACATGCTTAGTCATCTAGCCTATTCAGAAGCTGACTGTGTGTACATTGTAAATGTATAACTCTATAACTATAATAATGTGCATTCCATTTGTTTTCAAAAAACTAAAACTATCACTTTTTTTTAAATGCAGATGACTATTAAAAATTTACTCAGTTTAATAAACATATGTTAATACAATGTACAGTAAGATATTTGAATAAGATATCAGAATAAGATTTCAGTTTTTATGTTTTATTCCTTGACAATGTTTTTCATCAGAACGGTCGTTGTAAAGACATTCTGGTACCCCATTACACTTCCACGTTTTTGGTATACATCGATGGGTAATCTCGCATCGGAAGTAGAACCATGCATACAGGTCACAATTATCTTCTGCAAAAAAAAACCAACAACCAGCATAATGCCATTCGATTATAATTTACACATTCCAAAACAAGTTCGGAGAAGGTAATTGTTGAGTACACGTCGATAAAAATGCCAAACGGAAACCGATTTGTTATTCATTTTTCAGTTAGACGGATAGACAGTAAAATTTGTAGACGGCCGTATGGTGACATATACATGTAGTTGCGCTTCTACGTCATTTGGTCTCTGGTGGATAGTTATCTTAACGGCAATCAAACCGCATTTTCTTATTTGTATATCAGTACCATACATGTTTATGTATTTTTAAAGATTCGTATTCAATTATAAGGTATAAGTCCCCATAATTGTTGAAACATATTTGAGACTCTTACAACAATATTATCGTATACAATTTTTTATAAAGTGGAATATTTTCTATGACCATTTTGTCAGGATAAGATAAAATGTACTATTTGTGTATAGTCGTGCACCACTACACCTTTTGAACATAAATAACTGTAAACTTGAGAGGGTTTTTGTTTGTCATGTTTTCACCACTGCTTCATTCTTAGGCAGATTGGAATTTCAGTAGTCAATTAAATGTGTTGAATTTGTATTTTTTTTTAATATAAATTTAAAACAGCGTTTAACCTAACTTGACCTTTGTGCACCCCAACTCAGTTAATTATTTCTTTACCCAATGTAAATAAAGTTCATTGGTCAAATTAAAGGCTATGAATTATGAAGAAAATACAAATAAATAACCATATTTGTCTTAGTGTTAGGGGACGACCATTTGATATTCTAGAGGTGGATTTTGAAAATAAATAACTCAGCATTGATAATAACAACTAGAGGCTCTAAAGAGCCTGTGTCGCTCACCTTGGTCTATGTGCATATTAAACAAAGGACACAGATGGATTCATGACAAAATTGTGTTTTGGTGATGGTGATGTGTTTGTAGATCTTACTTTACTGAACATTCTTGCTGCTTACAATTATCTCTATCTATAATGAACTTGGCCCAGTAGTTACAGTGGAAAATATTTTGTAAAAATTTACAAAAATTTACAAAATTTATGAAAATTGTAAAAAATTGACTATAAAGGGCAATAACTCCTTAAGGGGTCAATTGACAATTTTGGTCATGTTGACTTATTTGTAGAAATTACTTTGCTGTACATTATTGCTGTTTACAGTTTATCTCTATCTATAATAATATTCAAGATAATAACCAAAAGCTGCAAAATTTTCTTAAAATTACCAATTTAGGGGCAGCAACCCAACAACGTGTTGCCTGATTGGTCTGAAAATTTCAGCGCAGATAGATCTTGACCTAATGAACAATTTTATCCTCGTCAGATTTGCTCTAAATGCTTTGGTTTCAGAGATATGAGCCAAAAACTGCATTTTATCCTATGTACTATTTTTTAGCCATGTCGGCCATCTTGGTTCGCGGGCGGGGTCATCGGACACATTTTTTTAAACTAGATACCCTAATGATGATTGTGGATAAGTTTGGTTAAATTTGTCTTAGTAGTTTCAGAGGAGAAGATTTTTGTAAAAGATTACAAAAATTTACGAAAAATGGTTAAAAATTGACTATAAAGGGCAATAACTCCTTAAGGGGTCAACTGACTATTTTGGTTAAGTTGACTTATTTGTAAATCTTACTTTGCTGAACATTATTGCTGTTTACAGTTTATCTCTATCTATAATAATATTCAAGATAATAACCAAAAACGGCAAAATTTCCTAAAAATTACCAATTCAGGGGCAGCAACCCAACAACGGGTTGTCCGATTCATCCGAAAATTTCAGGGCAGATAGATCTTGACCTGATAAACAATTTTACCGCGTGTCAGATTTGCTCTAAATGCTTTGGTTTCAGAGATATAAGCCAAAAATCTACATTTTACCCCTATGTTCTATTTTTAGCCATGGCGGCCATCTTGGTTGGTTGGCCGGGTCACCGGACACATTTTTAAACTAGATACCCCAATGATGATTGTGGCCAAGTTTGGTTTTATTTGGCCAAGTAGTTTCAGAGGAGAAGATTTTTGTAAAAGTTAACGACGACGGACGACGACGACGACGACGACGGACGACGGACGCCAAGTGATGAGAAAAGCTCACTTGGCCCTTTGGGCCAGGTGAGCTAAAAATGAATGGTTTGTTTTGTGGTAGTTTGAAAATAAATAACCTGAATTACAATTTATTGAAAATAACTTGGCAGGTCTTTGAAGCCATTTTATAAATGCTATTCTGAAGTATGAAATGGCACCAGATTCTTCCAAAATTCGTCTTTTTTCATATTTTTTTCGGGGAAAACTTCCCAAATCTTTTAATAATATAAATATTAATGTGTTTGAAATGTTTGAAAATGGGTTTCATTTCACTTGAGGTATATTGTCTCGTGAACATTTACCTCACTTTTATTACAGGGCCGTAACTACATTGAGGCAAATGCCTCATGTTGGAAATTTCAAAACAAAAGTTTGTCTTCATATCAAATTGTTTTCACGGCAAGTGTCTTGCAAGAAGCAAGTTCTGTTCACCCTCTGACGTAGCCCCTGTTTTTTGAGATCCATGTTTCTCATTTATATTTATTTTTCAGTGTTGATTGTCTATAATGTTTGTCGTTTTGTGTTTTATCTGTTCCCGGGTTTGTCTTTTGTTCATTGATTGCCGTTCTTTATGACTATTCTCTTAGTGTTGCATTCTATTTGTAATTTAGTAATTATGTTTTAAACTTAAGTTTTATTATATTTAAGGACCTTTTGTCTATTACAAACTACTTTAAATTTTTCCCAGTTAGGAACTACATCAAGTTGTAATTGAAATGTGTTATAAAAACTGACTTGACATAGTTATATCAATGATAATCAGCCCCCCCCCCTTAACTTAATTTGAAAAAAAAACATAATTGACAGGCATAAAAGGTTTTTCTGCAAACTAAAACATTTTTTGCTTTGTCCTACTGTACATATTGGTCTTTTGATCCCTAAAAACTAAAAGCTTGCGTTTCAGTTTAAGAAAGGGTCTGGGAAACGCGAATAATGCATGATTTTGCGCAATTTTTTCTATAGCTTCTTGGGGCCCTCAGCGAACCACAGATTCTTCGCTGATTTTTTTTTCACCTCGCTCCGCTCGGCAAAAATGTTTGACAACTTTTAAAAGAGTCTAGTTACAGCCCAGCTTTAATACCTTGTACGTATGCAATATATGCAGTTTGCAATTCAGAAGATTAACTTCCAGAGGATGATGATTAATTCTGATTGACTTAATTGACTATGTTATTTATTTAAGAATTTAAAAATTGTTTGTTTTCAAATATTATAAATATAATTGTGAAAATAGATAATCAGTCCCTTGTTTTAATGAAAATGAAAAATCATGCTTCAACAGTGCAGAAAATAAATAATCTGTCCTTTTGGTCTACAAAAATAAATACCCCATCCAAAACAAATCCTCCTGCCCCCCCCCCCCCCCCCAGAATATCAAATGGTCGCCCCCTTATGTGAATTGAAGAAAAATAAACTGAGAAGATGTGAAAGATACCAAAGGGTTAATTAAACTCACTAGTCGAAAACAAAATGACAATGCCATGGCAAAAAAAAAAAAAAAAAGGAAGACAAACAGTACACAAAACAAAACAAAGAAAACTAAAGACTGAGCAACACGAGCCCCACCGAAAACCGGGGGTGATCTCAGGTGCTCCAAAAGGGTAAGTAGATCCTGATCCACATACGGCACCCGTCGTGTAATACGTTCAAGATGGAAGCCTCATAAATACTGTAAGTATTGCAGGAGAAATAATCCATTGTTGATGATGATTATAATTATCCCTGTCGACTCGCTTAGTCTCGCAACTTTTGGAATTCATGCGATTACCTCAGTTTCCCTTTGATTTATAATTTCTCAACGAATTTGCATACTTGAGACTTGGACATCGATAAGCTACTTTTGTCTCTAAATTATAGTAGGCGTTTAAACGAGATATGAGTACATGTGTGTACTAGACCTATATATTAAAAATCCTTAAGTTTCATTAACTTTCAGATGTTTGCCCTACGAATAAAGCAAGTTACATTGAGTTAGGCAATACTATTTTGAATAGTTTAAATGTATGTCATAGTATACCTCGTTTACAGTTTTTTTCGTCTGATTCGTCATATCCGCCACAATCTACCATGCCGTCACACTTCCAGTCAAGTGCTATGCATTTACCATTCTTACAACGGAATTCATCAGATCCACATGAAACGCCTTATAAAAAAAAAAACAGACGAAAAACGAAATTAGAACTTTATCATAATAACATTAAATAATGCACGTATGTATTTTATTGAAATTAGCATCATTAAAAAAATATGGAGACAACTATCCACAAGAGTTCAAATGAGGATTATATATAAGGTTTATTTTATATTATAGGTCACCGTACGGCCGTTAAGAATGAGAAGAACCCATACCGTATAATCAGCTATACATAAAAGGTCCCGACACGACAAATGTGAAACAATTCAAACGAAAAAACTTACGAACTAATGTATAACTAATATAATTAACGAAAAAAGATATAACATACATGAACCAACGACAATTCTAGAAAAAATTACAGAAAATCTCCAATTTCTTGGTTTTCAACTGCAACTTTACTTACAAAATGTAACTGTTTTGTTTCTGTTTGGGCTGGTATTCTTCGTCTTTACATGTAATGATACATTGTATGTTTGAAACAGATTATCCAAAATGTTTCAACATAAAATGTTATAACGGAATGATGACATTGTGCAGAACTTATTGTGATGGATCTAAATCAGCTGTTATTGGGTAGTTTTACATTTTTTTTTTATTTCACTAACTCAAACGTCAAACATGTAATATAAATAAAACTTGGACCAATTAAAACATCCGTATAAAATATCAGATTAAAGGGATATGTGGGTTATAAGTCAACAGAAAATCTTCAACAAAAGAAGTATGTCTTGTGCAATAGATCAAGCTCAATATATTGATAGTCTTAATAAGCATGTTATTTATTTAGTACAGAGGGGGCCTCGGTGGCCAAGTGGTCTAGTAGTTCAACTACCATATCACTAGCCTATCAACACTGAGGTTGTGAGTTCGTGGCAGGTGCGTTCGACTCCAATCCTAATTGACTTGGATTGTATGTTTTTTTGCCGAAGCTTTGTGGTTCTAGTCGATACGAAATAGCCAATAGTGTAGAAAGTGTCATTAAACACCAAAGATCAATCAATCAATCGGTCATTTAAAAGCAGAGACTACCAATGACCTGCTTTCAAGAACAAATTATGAAAGGACAAAAGTATTAACTTTTTAAGATAAATCATTTCTGTAGAATATCATATAGTTTTAAATTAAATGCTACTATGAAGATATCTTTACTTATTTTTTAGTTATTAAAATGTATTTTGATAGGATCATCGGGAATAAACGTTACAAAAAGCATAAAACTTCGATTTATTTTTTCCACTTTGAAATTCGGACACACCGATTCTACAGATCCGAACACAAAACAATTAAAAACCTCTTACACAAAGATGAATTTGCCATATTTTAAATTTTCTTCTCACGTGATCATCTATGATCGTTTTAGACGATTGATTTTTGTCACGTGACTTCAGAAATGTAGATGCTTTTATTTATAGTCAGCATTGGAACCTGATATCATTGGAGAGTTTACTTTTCAAACTCAAACAACACTTTTGAAGTAATGTCTTGTTAATATTACCCTATAACTAGTGTGAAGCTAGTAATAATACTAGATAATAATACAGTGTTCGTCTTTAAATTAGACATGCAAATATAGCAAATTGTTGGGCTTAATTTTTTACATCGGTAACACAATGACTGCGCATGATTCACCAAAACACATTCACATTTTGTCTGATTGAGAGGCTAAAACTAAACCAGAGGTTGACAGAAAGATACACAGAATATCGCAAAGGAACCCTTAATGCATGTCTACGAATCCTAAGGCTGGTTATCTCCCTTGCAACATACGGGTATCTGAGTCACTCTATTAGCCAAACAGATAAAGGACGAATCCTGTTTTACTCAATTTAGACTGCATTCGATTACAGTTATTTGTAATCTCGTGTTAAACACGGCTTTAATTTTCAGCATCATCATAAGTTATTAACTTACCTCTTTTCTTTGTGGCCATTAGTTTTTTTCTGGGGTATTTTTTTTTGTGTCTTATTGTATGATTGCTCCTTTGTTACTTTTTCATCTTAAGACCGCTGCATCAACTTCCAAAGTAAATTTGTTAATATTTCGTCAAAGGATAAAAGGAATTACTAAAAACAATGGGTAGCAAAACAGACAAAATCAACCACCACCACCCGACTCTTCCGAAAAAAAAACCAGCCGTACAATCAAAGATTGATTGATTGATTGTTGGTGTTTAATGCCACTTCCATCACTATTGGCTATACATTATAGCGGTTAGTTTTTATTGGTGGATGAAACCGAAATGTACGGGAAGAACACAGGACTACGGCAAGAAAACTGACAATTTTAGTCAAATAAGATCAGAGTCGCACGCACCTGCCACGTACAGGGTTCGAACTCCCAATGTGATGACTGACAGGCTAGTGATACAGTAGATGAAATACTCAGACCCTTTGGTCACCAATGTCCCCTACTAGCAAAGGCAAACAATAATAATTAAGATAGCCTTTAAACCAGATTTACATTCTTACAATGTACAAACATAATTATATATTCTATATTCAAACAGTTTTGTTTTTGCTGCGAGAATAATAAAAAAGTAAAAGAGTTACACAAAAAGTCTTACCATTGATTGATTTTCCTGCAATAAGTCCACTTATTGTCAAAATAGTGACCGAAAGAAGGCATTTATCTACAAATACTCGCGACATGATTGTCAATGTATCTTTTGTGGTTTTTTTCAACAATGAATATTTCACATCCTGTATAGTAATTCAGTATTTGTAATTTTATCACTTTGACTTTTTCCCTTTAATAAACTAAAAATGTCACCAGCATCATTTTATATTAAAATGTGTATATATAATTAATGTCACACATGAAAACAACGAATTACTCCATTTATCATCATATTCTATGTAAACTTATTACGATTTGCAATGCAGATTTGTCAAGGATACATACCATCCAAGGGAGGCAAAAACATATTAATGGACAATTCATTATCAAAATCAAATTAGATTCTGAAATTACACTATTATATGTTATTAAGTTCACTAACCGTGACTGATCGATGTACGAATTATGGAAAATAATGAATCGTTATTTGTACTTCCGCAATAATCGTTTAACTTAAGCGTACATATTATTTTATTTAATAAAAAAAAATCATATTTTACTTCTCTGTACTCTTTATTTTGATTGTAAGATTTAACGCGAAATGTGAGTTAACGGAACGTTTTCATACGGATAAAGTTATTACCATAGTAACAAAACCAATACCTCGTCTAGACCTGACGACGGCAACAGAAACTGTTGTTGATGGAAAACCTTCAATACCATAGAGATTGAACAATACTCAAATATAAAAATGTAATTATCCTAAATTAATGGTCCCTTATCAAAATGCATGAATATGACAGTTTTCCTGGTAATTTAAAGCAATGGCATTCTCAGACTAAGAATTATACTTTTAACAACTCGCGATAATTCAATATCGCTTGATATCTACCCATTTAATATCGCTTGATATCTACCCAGAGTTATTTGATTTCAATGAAATAATAAACGAACCATATGCTATGTTTACTTACCTCCCTTTCCCAAATAAGGCCGACAACAACATCACCGAGAAAAAAAGAACAAACAGACCAATAACATTCTTTTTATTTCATGCAGTGGAATAAGTAACGTGATATTAAGGTGGTACCAAACACCTTGACTAAAATTAATTTGGCTCGTTTAATTTTCATAAAATTTTTACAAAATATTAACTTTGACCCTTTGACAAAAATATAAAAAATTCAAAAAACTTGAACCACACACTTTATCGGAAAATTTTATTGGATATATAGCAGTTTGACACTAATTTTGATCTTTGAGAAGCTTAATATTTCCTTACAATAGAACGTGATTAAAACTTTCAGTTGATTTTTACAGAGTTATCTCCCTGTAGTTATGTACCATCTTAAAGGGAGATTGGCTGTAATTTTTAAATTCCGAAAAAATAATTGCGTATAGATCATCACAGATTGCCAATAAGGCGTTATATTAAAATAATCCGAGCAGTATCACGTGTTTTGAATGTCCCCATTTTATCGCATATGACTGCATATTCATTTATACTTCTTTGTAAAACAGACGCCTCATCTATTCTGAACAAGCCACTTGCTGTTCAAGGAAAACTCCCATATTGGTTTGGGTTTTACTCATTGTTGAAGACCTATAGTCGTTAATTTCTGTGTCATTTGGTCTCTTGTGGAGAGTTGTTTCATTAGCAATCATACCACATCTTCTTATTTTTATACTAACCCAACATTTTAGACTGTTTTTTTAATTCCTGTATCTATTAATGTCTAAACCGGATATACAAAAACAAATGTAAAAAAATAACAACTTGTTAGATTTTAATGCAGACTTTTTCATCAATTTCTTCATTTGTTGTCCACAACGCCGTATTGTTTTTAATAAAAAAAAAAATAAAAAAAAAAACCAAATAAAAAAAAAAAAAAATAAAAAAAAAAAAAATAAAAAAAAAAAAAAACCGTGGTAACTCCACTACTAACCGTATACTATTTAAATAAAACACGCCCAATATAAAATATAAAGGGTCTCCATGTGTTTGCTTTTAACCGATGATATTCCTAGAAATATATAGGAGGGAAGACAATAGCATTTTTACGGGAACAATTTATGGATTGTGGTTTCATTGATTATATCATACCACATTTTTTCATTTGTGTATAAGAAATTGCACGTGTAATTTTGTTTATTATTTGGAATAAAATAGCAGTTTTAGGATAATTGTCATATTTGTAGATAACACTGACTTTTCGTATTAAAAACCTAACAATTAGGAGTACTCTCAGATCTGTACTTAGTGTCTTTTCGTTTCAGGGGGCGTATAAGTACCCTGCCACGTCCACTATGTGTTTTTGTTAGATGTATTTCTATTTGTATCCATCTGATGAGTTAAGCCTTTTTCAACTGATTTGTATAGTTTGTTCTTATGTTGTACTGTTACACCACTGTCCAAGTTTATGGGAGGGTTTGGCGCCCGCTAACATTCTGTATGTGCCTGTCCCAAGTCGAGGAGCCTGTATTTCAGTGGTTGTCGTTTGTTGCTGTATATCTTATTTGTTTTTCTTTCATTATTTTGTACATAAATCAGGCCGTTTGTTTTCTCGTTTGAATTGTTTCACATTTGTCATTTCGGGGCCTTTTATAGCTGACTATGCGGTATGGGTTTTACTCATTATTGAAGGCCGTATAGTGACCAATAGTTGTTAATTTCTGTGTCATTTGGTCTCTTGTGGAGAGTTGTCTCATTGGCAATCATATCACATCTTCTTATTTATAATTATAACGTATTATTGGTTAACTAAAACGTGTGTGTTGTACCATTTGGAATTTTAAAATCTACCAGAAAGCAAATTGAGTTTCCATACTTGTGATCAGGGCTTGTTTTAACAAATGACCTTTTTCTAAACCTTTAATTCTTTGATTTGTTTTTTAAAATTGAACAAATAATGTTAGTATGCAATGGAGTACGACCTAGCTCTCCAATAACACATATATTACATGATTGTATCGTTAAAAGTGTCCACACAGATCAAATTTAGTCCATGATAGCGGACTGCATACATATACATTATACAAGTCAACGAAAATCAACCCAAAGATCTTCTGATTCTCAAGTGCTCCTTACATCTTGACTAAAACAATGCCTAACTAAATCTGCATTTAATTCGAGTGTACCGTCCATACAACGTTTGCTTTAAACATATAAATAATCGCATTGAACACATTCAATTGGTGGTAAAAGGGTTAAAAAATTAATGTATTAATGAATGAATAGGAATCAAATCGAAGTTAACAGCAGTGATCATTTGTATCTAATGTTATCTGTAGTATCTATCTTATCTCTGCTTGACCCCCCCCCCCCCCCCCCCACCCCTGGTGCTTAATTCCTGATCCGTGGTTTGAATAATTATGTACCAGAGTGTTCATTAAGACTTTAAAGCCTGCCTCATGTATTTTTCAGGATTAATGTTGGTTTGTAAGGCATATCTCCATGCCATGAAAGCCCTTTTCACTTGTTGTTTTGAATGGCGCTTAGGCTTTTTTGAAACACATTGAAAACATTTAGCGTAATGTTTGTTTGTCAGTCTGTTTATTTCTACTGTTGTTGACTTTGATGTGATGGTATCAGCTGCATGCTTTTTTATGTGAAGGAAAAAATGATATCTGAAAATAAAAGATATACATATGAGATGGCAATTTGTTGATCGTTTAGAGCGATCTAGTGCACATCATATTGCACAAGACACCTGTCTTTCCAAGTGAGTATGTCGACTTATACATACATTTTGGTTTGTTTTATGTTACTGTGTAAAATTGACGTACATGTAGACACCCCACATATATATGGCCTTACGTGTATATATTTTTTGAACGATCATTGATGAGGGTGTGGATGGGGGTGAACAGAATAGAGAATAATGGACAAAAAAAAATAAAGAATGGAGAATAATGAGGTGCTAAAATATAAAGAAGAGAAAGTAATAGGCAAAAAGTAGAAAGATTAGAGAAATATGACATAACAAATTAAAGAATACAGAAATAAAGGACCCCCATCCAAACCCTAATTGATATTTCTTGTGGTGAATATGACGGATATTGTGTCATATGTAAACAAGACGCTTCTTCAACATCCAAACATATATGTTTGCAATGAAGTGTGACAAGATTGTTTTATATACATTCAATTATAAATCTTCATATTTCTGTGTAACTACATGTATGAGTATGGAAAGAAAAAAACGAAACTTTGCGTTTAAAGAACCAAAGAATTTCTAACACATTTTGAATTTGGCAAAACTAAACAAGCCTTCAGCAAGTTCTGTCATGAATTTTTAGCAGCATGCTTTTCATCCTCATTTTGTAATTTTTCATAGACGTTTCTCGACCTCTGTCGATCGAAGGTTACTGACCATTAGTGACCAATATTAGGGAAGTGTTGAGCTCTCACAAAGGTGTTTAAAGCCGCCACAGTACATGTCTGACCGAAGCCAGCAATCAGTGTCTAATAGTTGTTGCTGGTTGCTGTCTGCTATGATAGATTTTTTTTTTATCATTGTTGTATTATAAATCAGGTTGTTGGTTTTCACTCCTCTCACAATATGGTGTCTTATATCTTACTATACGGTATGGAAAGGCAGTACGGTGTCCTGTAAGTGTTTACATCTTTTTCAAATGGTTTTTAAATGAAACATGTATATATATTTGTCTCATTGACAATCGAATTGACGTCTCCCTATTTTTGTATTCACAATTTATATACACGACGGATGCCACATGTGGAGCAGGATCGGTTTACCCTTGTGAAGTAATTGAGATCACCTCGGTTTCTTGCGGGGGTTCGTATTGCTCAGTCTTTAGTTTTCTATGTTGTATTTTGTATCATTTGTTTGTCTTTCCGTTTTTCCAATAGCGTTGTCAGTTTGTCTTGGACTTATGAGTTTGAATATCACTTTGATGTCTTCCGCTTCCCTTAAGTAATGAAACTCATTGTGTATTTATGTAACTTTTTTAAAGGATACGACCCTTTATGCCTTATATATCAAATATAGATTAACTTACTCACCTATAGTTTATAAACCATTTATTTACGGTTTGAATTGTCAATGTTTTTGTTAAAAGTCTTTTCTTGTCTTTCTCTTTTGGAAATATATTCGACTGGAACATTTGTTTGCTACATTTCAAGGCATTCTGCATATCTAAAGTAAGCAAAAGGTAAACATATTTAATGATTTTAACTTATTAAAATTTTAAATGATCTACATATATATACTATTATAAATCATAGTTTACCTCTAGATTGGTTCTCTTGACAAAAAGTATTAATTTTTTTTGCTGTGCTTTTTATATTTAATAATTAGAAGACGCTCACACAAACCATCTTTCTAACGCTACTGGTTCGTTCCCTCATGCAGCATCTGGGTTTTTGAACCATCTTAGTCCCCAAGATATAACTATGTAAGCCATCTTGGATCGTAAAATAGCTGTAAACTATCGGTCTGTATGTATATAGTTAATGAAATAAGCTAAGTTTGAGACAGAAATGCAATTCATTGCTCAGACTTTGTCTTGGACTCATGAGTTTGAATATCACTTTGATGTCTTCCGCTTTTGGTTTAAGACTTTTGGTTTAAATGAAAAACAATGAGTAAGTGTATCTTATTATTACAATGGGTTTTACAAATACAGATTATTTCTTGATTGATTCAAACTTTGTTAACTTAATTAAGGAAGAAAATTAAGATAATTTGTTTTTAAGTTCAGTAAATTTTCTGTTTTGTCTTATAGCAAGAAATAGCTCGTTGATCACTTTTCTTTTGATTTTCTTACAGTCCCTGTAACGTAAAAGTTAACACTTTTTTCATTCGGGAATCGTACGTACAGCGTTCGGGAATCGTTCGTATAGAGTTCGGTCATCGTTCGTACATCATTCGTATAGCGTTCGTACAACGTTCGGTCAGCGTTCGTTCATCGTTCGTTCATCGTATGGTAAATGTCATCGTTTAGGGTTTTGTATATCGTATGGTTCATGGTATCGTTAAGCGTTTTATTTGTCGTATGTAACATGGTATGGTTTAGCGTTTAGCGTTTCGTTTATCGTATGGTTTAGCGTTTAGCGTTTCGTTTATCGTCTGGTTTAGCGTTTAGTTTATCGTATGGTTTAGCGTTTCATCTATCGTATGGTATATCGTTTTGTTAGGCGTATGATATATGTTTTATTTCAGAAAGTTATTTCAATTATTATTTTGAGTTAAAATAATTTAACATAAAAAAAAGCGGGAAAAAAACAGTTATTAGATTGGATTGATTTATAGTTGGTTGCGTACTTGTATATCCCAAACAACCAAACGGATGCCCCACTTTGGCAAGGTTTTTTTTTACTGCCAGCCGAAAGAAGACTTGTAGTGACCATATTTATATCCCCTTGTCACCCTTTGGACTAAATTAGACTGGAAAGATTGGATTGGAGACATTTCACTTATTAATTAAAGCAAATAAGTTATCTTAATTATTATATTTTTTGTTTTATACAAATTGCGTAATTCTTGATGTCTTTTTGTAATTTTGAATCATTGTGTTAATTACATTTCAAATTTGATCTTATAAAATGTTAAAAAAAAAATAACCTAAACAATATCCTTAGTTCAATGGAACGAGAACTATCTATTTTACATAAACAAATTTAGTCGTAAAAATAGTATTGGTTGTAAACGTTTTATCTTGATTGAGAAACGTTTAGCAATGTAATAAACTTACTTTGAATGTATTATAACTTAATGTAGATTTGGAACTGTATACCATTTCTTACCGGTAGAAAAAAAATCTGCAACTAATATCATTACACTATGGAATACCCTGCTATATAAAACGAGGGGAAAACATTTCCTTCCATCAATACAGTAAATAAAAAACCCAGTTTTTATCAAGGTAATCGATATCATGCAAAAACAATATCTAGACTTAGGTTGGGTACTACTTTATTACCTGGTCAGCTAGGCCAGTACATCCGCAATGTACCTCCAATATGCAATACATGCGGCATTAAAGAGGATATAGAACACGTACTAGTTAACTGTATTAATCACTCACAAGCCAGACAAAATTTACAATCAAACTTGGATAAGGTTCAAATACAAAATGTTAATACCAAAATATTGCTAGATCCTCCTAAAGATAAACAACAATATGTCTGGTCGTGCTTGGTTCAATATTTAACAGAAATTGATAACCATAAATTTATATAAGTATTAAAAAAAATAAAAGTAATATAAATAAAATAAATAAAATACACTGCAAGCGTTATCTGGGTCAGTGACTCAAAATGGAGTCAGGCCGTAACCGGCAGTAATAAAACAATTTTTACAACAATAACAGGACGTACTAAAGAAAAGATCGTTAAGAATACCAATTACACTGCAAGAGTTATCCGGGTCAGTGACTCAGAAATGGAGTCAGGCTGTAACCGGCAGTACAGCAGGCTCTTCAAGACGGCTTAACAACACATCGGTAAGAAGACCAACTACACTGCAAGAGTTATCCGGGTCAGTGACTCAGAAATGGAGTCAGGCCGTAACCGGCAGTACAGCAAGCTCTTCAAGACGGCTTAACAACACATCGGTAAGAAGACCAACTGCACTGCAAGAGTTATCCGGGTCAGTGACTCAGAAATGGAGTCAGGCCGTAACCGGTAGTACAGCAGGCTCTTCAAGACGGCTCAACAAAACATCGTTAAGAAGATCAACTACACTGCAAGAGTTTTCCGGGTCAGTGACTCAGAAATGGAGTCAGGCCGTAACCGGCAGTACAGCAAGCTCTTCAAGACGAATTAAAATCGAAATAAATTTATAATCTAAAAAATTATATATTATACAATATAAAAAGTTAGAATGCATGTGCCATTCTTAAAAGAACTATGAGAGACTGTTATATACAATTATAAAACAACAGAATTAAAACATAATTTTGTTATTTACACAAAACATAAAAGTGCAATATCACCATGCACATTCAAGGATAAAACCTGTTACATGTACATAAAAAAATAACAATGATTTTTTAACAGTATAAGATACTATTTCGTCGCAATAAAATATTATGGCAGGTTTTGGCAACAGAACTACAAACATTTTCATTTTTGAACAAAAATATAAATTTTTCATCATCTGACAAAGTTAAAAACATATTATTATGTTGAATTATATCAATAAATAAAGACTGCCTTAAATCTTCATATAATGGACATGTTAACAGTACATGTTTTTCATCTTCTATATCATCACAATTGAAACATAATCTTTTATCCAAATCTAATCTTTCGTAACGACCAGTTTCAATTTTTAAAGGTGCTACTCCACATCTAACAATAAGGGTTTATCCTTCAGTATTATAAAATTGCTTCAGTCATTTAATATATTTTATTTTTGTTGGTCATGTATAATATTTTCAGAATGATAATATAATTGCATCATTTTGAAGCGTTATTTATATAATTATTTAATATTTATTTAACTTGCAAACCGATTTGATTGGCCAATAACTGTTGAAACACATGACGGCATAATAATATTATACATGAGCGTTTTGGAAAAATTCGGCAGATATTTAATCAACGGCTCCAAGGAAAGTTTTCTTGTAGGGTAAAAGAAGGGGGAAGATAGACCTCTAAGGAGTAAAGCTTTAAAATTTGTATAACCTTTAAATTGTTTAACTTTTCATATACAGACTTTCTCCTCAATTGCTAATATGGAGAATAGCGTTTTAATGCCTTATCATTGTTTCTGTTAAATCAAAGACATGTAATACATGTATTCTATTTTTTCTGAATAAAATTATTCACAATGATATATGGAAATTCGGGACGATTTAGAAATTGGCATGTTGTGTATACACCTTTCTATTGGTAAACACTATATATGTTGCCCACTCGATGTCCCTGTGTGTTTTTTGTTGTTTGATTGCTGTCTTATTGTCGTTAAACCCACCATGATCTCCTACTTTTTAAGTTCTGTTTAATGTACGTTTAAATCGGTTTAAAACAAACTGAGTTTTGCTCAGAGGAAGAGTAATAGAAGAGGTTTGTATATAAATGCTTAGTGCAAAGTAAACAATAAAAAAAAAGTTTCACTTTTCAATTTTCAACTCCCCAAAATTTTAAACTGTATTGATTTTGAAGACGTGTCTCATCTAAACGAAGTCTGAATGGTCTCCAACTTACCAGTTTATTGTTTACCTGTTTTGCACATACCTAAATATAAACCTCATCACATTTGATCCCAAAATTATCAATAAAATTGAATTTGTCGTAGTAAATTTCATTGAGCACAAAACAAATCCAAACCAGATTTGAATTATATGGATATTCATTTTTTTTTTTAAGAAATATGAAGAAAAATAATAATTATCTTGTTTGACTTTGAAACACGGAGTTAATACTTTAAATTGCATTGTGCACAAAATACCATAAAATCTTCCTAGGAATGAGAAACTCTTTCTTCATAGAAATGTATGAAATAGTTTACACTAGACATTAAACAACCAACAATCAATCAACTAAAATATATTCAAGGGATTATTATTATGCATGTATATGTATATAAATGCCAGGTACCGTATAAATATATTGAATAATCAACAAAATATAGTGCTGTCAAAAAGACACATTATCATTAGGATATCAAAATAATTCACGGTTTTTTTTTCAAAATGATTAGCAAACAATCCGCTTTCCGCATTTTTCAATTTCCGTGCTATCGCTCCGTGTCGGTTAATAATTTTTAGAATAAAGTTAAAAAATCGATCTACGTAACACACTATATAATATATATAGAAGTCACAGTAAACATTAAACTTATGCATGGCGGAAAAGAAATATACGAAAACAATGTGCATGCAGCCTCTCAAATAATATTTAAAAAAATGACATTTAATTTATAAAACTTAGGACTTTAATTTTTGTATTTTTGGTGGGATGTTGAAGTCTCTAGAATATAGAAAATACACGAGAAAACCTCTTAGTACACTATCAAAATGTGATTGGTGTCCATTGTACTATATATTGTTTAAGCATTTAGTGTATTCTTATTCATTTGGACATCTGTGTCCCTGGCTCTGAACAAGAAATTGCGAGGATGTTATGCTTTTACCTTTTTTTACCGTCAATTTACCTTTAAAAGATTTTTAAACAGAATGTTATATATAT